GACTGGAGTCCATGAGCTCCCCCTTGTTCAGGTCAGCTGTGGTCTTGACTCCTTTGCTCATCACTCCTCCCTCTCTGAACTGGATTCCAGGAGTTCGGCGCACTGTTCAGCTGTGGGTGTCTGCTTCTGCTTCCATCAGCTACTGGGTGAGGACTCTAGGATGGCATATAAAGTAGTCATCAATCTCATTATCAGGGAAGGGCATTTAAGGTAGCCTTAATCTAAGCCACTATTGCTTAGATTGTTAGTTGGGGTCATCCTTGTACGTCTCTGGACATTTCCCTAGTGCCAGATTTCTCTTTAAACCTACAATGGCTCCCTCTATTACAGTATCTCTTTTCTTGCTCTCCTCTATTCTGCCTCTGCCCCCAACTCAATCTTCATGTTCCCTCATGTCCCCCCTCCCCTCCTTTTCTCCCCTTCTCTTTCTCCTGACTCCATCTCCTCTCCCCATGCTCCCAATTTTCTCAAGAGATCTTGTCCCTTTCCCCTTCTCTGGGGGACCCTGTATGTCTCTCTTAGGGTCCTCCTTGTTTCCTAGCTTCTCTGATGGTGTGGATTGCAGGCTGGTGATCCTTTGCTCTATGTCTAAAATCCATACATGAGTGAGTACATACCATGTTTGTTTTTTGTGACTGGGTTTCCTCACTCAGGATGGTTTCTTCTAGTTCCATCCATTTGCTTGTGAATTTCAAAATTCCATTGGCAAACACTATTCTTTATCAAACAGAATTACCATGCCATCCAGTTATGGCACTTCTGTCTTACCAGAGATACGTGTGCACCCATATTTATGCTGCTCTATTTAAAATGCAAAGGAAATGGACTTATAGGCTAGGTGCATTTCCACTTAGATTTAATCCTTAGCCTGTGGGTCACGAGAGCATGTTGTTATTTTACATATTTGTAAATCCCCTAGTTCTCTCTTATTATTAATTTCTAATTCCATCCCATCGTATAAATGAAAATATTTTTGTATGACTTGTATACTTTAACATTTTTCAAGATTTTATCACCCGGCATAGGATCTATCCTGGGGAATATTCTGTATGGTTGGCTTTTGTTGGATGGAGTACTCTGTGGATATCTGTGTTGTTATTCAAGGCTTTACTTCCTTGTTGATTCCCTTTGTTCAATTCATTATTGAAAGTGAGGTCATGAAATTGTCAGTGATGACAGTTTCATTTCCTGTTTCTGTCAACTCAGTCTCTGATGCATTTTAGGGACTGTCAGCAGGCATGTGCATTTTAACGATGCTATATTTCCTGGAATATTAACCCTGTATCTTGCCTTTCCTTTTGAACAGGATGTCTGTAGCTCAGGCTATCCTTAACTCACTGTGTAGCCCAGGTTAGCAAGTTCGTGGCAATCATTTTGCCTTAGCTTCACAAGGGCAGAGGTTATGGGTATGAGCCATCCTGCCCCACTCCCACATTTTATCTATAACAACACAGTCTTTTGTCTGATTTCATAGCTCAACGTCACTCCCGTTTGAAGAATTGTTTTATTGGAACCAGGGCCTTACTCATTCATCTTCCGGTAGCACTTGGGATATGTGACTTCACTGTCTTCAGCCGTATTGAGAACGTTTTTTCATTTCATTGAGAAATTCCTGTGTGCCATGAGTCATCGATTTACTACAGTCCTTCCTGTTGTTTTCAAGATCCTTTGCCTTTCAAATACTTGACTGCGGTGTATCTAGAACGAGGTGGCTTCGACATCACCCTTCCAGAGATCATTGGCCTTCTTGGATGTGCATTCTGTCTTCAAACCGCCTCGTGTCCCCTTGTGCTCTCCCTCCCTTGTGGGACTCTTACACACGTGTGCATTTGTTTGATGGTGCCTTTTCCAGGCATTCATTTTTTGTTGATATCGATGTCTTCTTTTTTTCATTTTAAGGTAGATAATCCATTTCCAAGTTCTCTGATTTTTCTGCTAGGTCAATTATTCTTTTGCTCTCCCTCAAAATTTTATTTCAGCTAACATATTTTCAAAACCACAATTCCTATCTTTTTTTTAAAAGCAAACTTTCTTTGTTTGTACTGTGTATTTGGTAGGACATTGTTTCCGTCTTTCCCTAGTCCTCTAGAGATGGCTTCCCTTGGCTCTGGAAGCCTCTAGAGATGGCTTCCCCAGGAACAGTTTTTATATTTACAACGTACAATAGTTACTTAGTTATTTAGTTGCACAGTCATTTGTTGAAGACTGGACATTTTAAATAATGCAATGTGGCAATCTAGACATCCTGGAGCATATTGCTGCTGCTACTTCTTTAGTGACTTTTATGAGCTAAGTCTGCCGAGTGAGTCTTCATTGTCACATTTGTGAAGTCCCTTCTCAGTTAATGACAGAATGGAGATTATCTTAGGTGCATTGGACCAATAAAGCTCAGCCTTTAGCAATGGGCACTGGGAGCATGCTGGAGCACACCTTCAGGAGTGGCAGGCAGCTCCCAGCTCTTCATTTCCCTTCATTTCCTGCTTGTGCAGTGCTTCAAAGTCAGCCAGAGGCGGGAGGTTAGGGGCTCCCTGGGCCTTTTCTGGCCATGCTGGCAGCTCTGCTGGTGGACGAACCTCCGGGAAGTAAGGACAGCTCCTTCTCCCGCGGACAGCAAAATCCCTGGCTTTTCCTTTAATGCTTCATCAGTCTCTCATTAGCTTCAGCTGTGGTCCCTGCCTCAGCTTCAAAGTCATTGCGGGCAGTTCTTAAACTTCTTTATATTGAAAATGTTTGCATTTATTCTTTGAAAGCTTTACATGTTTCTTAATTATATCTATCCCCCACTCTCCACTGCAGTCCCCCTCCCAGGACTTTCCCAACATACCTCCCAAACAATTCCATGTCTTCTTTTTAAATGTTTATTTTCAGTAACATTACTGTTAACCCCCTGAATCTAATTAGTACTGTCATTGTATGTGTGCGTAGTATGAGGTCATCCACAGGGACATGGGCAACCTACCAGGGACCAGCCCTCTCCTAAGAATAGCGAGTCCCTCCCCACAGCAGCCATCAACTGTCAGTAGTCAAAGCCAGTAGCCCTTCCCCCACCCACGATAGACTTTTAACTCCGTTCATGTGTACAGCAACCATGCCGTGTGAAGACAGCGTTTTCCTTTTATCCCACAGTGCTTAACACTTTTTCCTTCTCTCTTCAGGGATGTCCCCCAAGCCTTGGCAGGGTGTTTATTCCTGACAAAGGCCTTGCTCTGTGGCCCTTGGTTGGACAGGTGCTCACTATATATCCTAAGATAGCCTAAAACTTGCAGCAATCCCCCTGCCTCAGCCTCCTGAGTGCTGAGATTGCAAACTTGCATTACTATGCCCACCAGTTGTTGATTCTTTTCAATAATTGTCCAGGGTACGTTATAGTGACAGGGCACTGACTGATTAAACAAGGCACCCGCAGGCTAGGTGACTGAGGGCTCCCTGGCAGTGACTTTGGGAGCTCCTGTCCCCATCTGCCCTTTGTCACACCACATTGTTCCTTTCTGCCCCCTGTCACAGGGCATTGGTGAGGCTGTCCTGTCCCCTTCTGCCTCCGCCACCCTGTGCTGGTGAGGTTGTAGGTTTCCAAGCCTACTTCTGATTTTTAGAAGGTCATCAGGATAGGGCAAGTTAAAACAGCACAGTTTGGTGCTTATTGCTATCTGGTAGGGGTTTGGTTAATTCCTGATTGTCAGAACAAAGTCACCAAGTTGATGTTTACAGCTTTCTAGAAATGTTCTCATTGCTTTTAGGGAGGATTGCCGGTCTCACGCCATCTTCCCTGCCGACAACAGACTGGTCTTAAAACACTCTAACAGAGACACTTCTAGTTTTTAATAAGCCATGTAATGTCAACAAGCAAATTTGTAAAGCCCTGCCTACCTGTGCTGTTCCCACTTGATTTGCATGCCAGGGACTCTTGTATATTTTTATTTCTTGCTTGCTGACATGTACAGTTTTGGTTCTGGGACAACCATAGCCTGGCTTACTCTTCTGTCCTTTTGCTATTTACACAGCAACAGTGCCGCCTTGTTCCTTCATAATGAAGCTTTCACGAATTTATAGACATGAGTTTTCAACTTTGCTAGTATAGGAAATAATTCCCCTTACACTTTGTGTCTAAAGATCCTAGGACAAATTCCGGACAGCATTATTTACTATCAAAAACTATACTTTATGCCCCAAGTCATTTCCAGAGGGGTCATAAAAATTGTTCCCTATCAATAGTTTATATATTTCTTTATAGCCTAACACCTATGAGGTATATGTAAAATTATTAATGAGGTCGAACAACTTTTACACATTCTGAGTCTCACGTAAAATTCCTATTGTTTGCTGTTGTCCTAAGAGGAGGTACAACTACCCTGTGAATAGTGGCTTATTAATTCTTCCATATCGTAAAAAGCCACCATGAGATTGCCATTCAGGAGCATGTGACATGGAAGGCCCTTAAAGACTCTTTTCCTTAGCATTAGCTTGTACCTTCATCCGTGCCACACATTTTAAAGAATTTAATGGCATCTTTTCATTCTAACTATAAAGCTAGAATTTTTAATGTTCCTTAGATGCCGGTAACATCTCAGCTCTCAGATATTCAGTGAAGAATGTCCTCAGCCTTAGTCACAGTTTACAGCTTTACGACCCTTGCTCAGTATGTTGAATGGTGGGACACTTCACTGGGAGACACGTGTTCTGAATGCTATATATAGAATGCACAAACAAGCTTTTAGAACACAGCATTGTAAAGGGCCCAGGGTTTCTTATTCAGGTTCTGTACAAACGAAACCCTGAAACTGGCAGCGTTCTACAGGTTCTACAGCCTATGTAGGGCCTGATCCGTTTCTACAGCCTATGTAGGGCCTGATCCGTGTTTTGCAAACCCTGAAACTGGCAGCTTTCTACAGGTTCTACAGCCTATGTAGAGCCTCATCTGTGTTTTGCAAACCCTGAAACTGGCAGTGTGCTACAGGTTCTACAGCCTATGTAGAGCCTGATCCGTGTTTTGCTTTTCTCAGTTTAAGGCCAGCAGTCCAGCGGTGAGGTTTGAACTAACGGGGGAAACAGATGGCATCTTCATGATAGAAGGGGATGGACTTCTGTATTACACCAGAGCCCTGGACAGAGAAACAAGGGCCGTGCATCATCTCCAGGTGAGCTGCGTCCAGTGGGATGGAGCGCCAGCCGCCACAGCACCCTTGCTCCTGGAGTCCCCCAGAACCTCCTGAAGTTGGTGCAAACTGTCCAATCTTCATGTGACCTTCCTCCCTCCCATCTCCTTCCCCCTGTCTCCCTCATCTGCCCCCTCTTTAAAAACAGCTACAGAGAGGTGTGGCGCTGCATGGCCAAAGTCAGCAGATACCTGTACTCATTCAGGTGCTGGGGCTGAACCTAGTGGTAAGCCTCTGGAGTGCACGGATGCTTGGCCTGTGGCTGTTGTGTGGGTTCCACACCTACAGTGAAGGCAGCATCAATGCTGGGCAGAGCCACTGGGACCCCAGAAAGCAGAAGGAACTGATAGTCGGAGGCCTACTGGAAATGTCCTTCCTTTCTTTTCCCATAGCTTCCCAGTGGGGGCCTGAAGAGCTAGGAATGGCAGAGAGGTAGCTGAAAAAGCCAGCAGTTGTCTGTCACCTTCTGCCATGGGCGGACCACTGTGCCAACTCTGGGGAGTCATGGCATACCATCATCTATGGCAGGATGTGTCATGGGTCTAATACCTTTCAGGGGGGGGAGTAGTTGCTATCATCATGCTGGCTTAACTGATTGGACCCCTATTTTAGCAGCATACAATTTGGGATTTTGTGGTACCTGGGTCATTGGTCTTTAGAGTTTTAATGTCCTTTAGGTGACTTTTGGGCATGTGATCTGAAGTCCAGGGGCACTAAGGAAGTCTTCTTTTCTTCAACAACAGCTTGCAGCCCTGAATTCTCAAGGAGGCACAGTAGAGGGCCCCGTCCCCATCACCATAGAAGTCAAGGACATCAATGACAATCGACCCACATTTCTCCAGCCAAGATATGAAGGCTCTGTGAGGCAGAGCTCTCGTCCAGGTAATAGACAGGAGCTTGAATATGTCTGTGGACTAATGAAAGGGCAAATGATAGAAGTGTGGCATCGTGTGGCTGACAGTTGTCACCATCACTCCTCAAGAACTTACTGTCCTATGTAAACTTCCTAGTGATCTGCGTGTTGTTTGTTGGGAACTATTGCTCTGGACCAGAGGCCCCCATCCTTGGTCCTGTTGAGTAGTCTTGTGTAATGTAGGATACCCAAAACACCCCTCACTCTAAGCTGTGACAATAGAAATGTCTGTAGGAAAGCTAGGCAGATAGGTCAGCAAGAGCCCTTGCTTCCCTTCTGCTGATCTGAGTTGAGTTCCAAGTCCTCAGGATGGGTGGCTCCCCATCACCTATAACTAGCTATGGGGTCCAGTGCCTTCTGGCCTCTGTGGACACCCACGTTTGTATGCACACACTCACCCTCCCCGCATAATCAAAAACAAAGGAAATCTTTAAAGGTGTCTCCAGAGCTCACCAAATGCACAGTGAGAGGCAGAACTATGCTTCCTTGGTGAAATCTCAAACACCATGCAGCTAAGCTCTAGAATACCCGAGAATTGTCTGGAAAGATGAGCTTGCTCTCCCGTAGCTTATGGGATGATTAGAGCTGCTGTTGGTTCCTTTGCTTATGGCTGTCACCCAGCTGTGACTAACTCCTTCTCTTGATATTTCTGTCAACTCATATCAAGTAACTATTTGTGTTACTCAACCTTTTCCTCTTCTCAGTCTTCAGTAGCCAAGTGTAAGCATTCAGTGATAGCTGCACTGTCTCTGTCCCTTGTCCCTGAGTTGGCATACCGAAGAGTCATTATGCAGAATCTGCCAGACAGTGACATCTTTTTTCTCCATGAATCAAATCTTCTAGAGAAGTGATTTTCAAAATGGGGGGGGGGGCTCAGGACTTTTGTGTTAACTTACAAGTTGGGGGGGGGAACTTACGCAAACTTTTAAACCTGTGAATTACACCTAGTGGCGTCCTGGGCAGTGTTTATCAGCGGTTTCTTCTGGGGTGGGTGAGAAAGAGATCTGTGGCATTGGTCAGGTTTCATGGTACAAATACTCTACCATGTCTTGTCTCAAATTACCAATGCTATTAATAAGTGAGTTTTATGGGTTTCGGGTCTAGTTAGCTTTAGTGTATGATATTTGTATTTGTATCATTTTTATAATTAACTTCATGAAAAATAACTGACTCAAGAATTTCTGGAAACTCAAAGTTGTGCTCTCACAAGGTGAGCCCAGTGCAGCACTGGGTTAGCATCTGCCAGCACTTACTGTCTTAGGAATTAAAATGCTTGCTTATTAAACAATTTAAAAGAACACAGAGAGTTTAATGAAAAGTATACTTTTCAAGACAAAAACAAATTAGCGAGAAAAAGGTTTGAGTCGTTGCAAATTTCTTAATGGTCTGTTTCTACATTCATGATGTTACCACATGCTATTTTGTTTGAAGTAGTACATGAGAAAAACTTAGTCTCACGCACATCTGTAGTTTAGGAAAAGAATATTTAAACAGTAGTTCCAGATATTGTGGTCATTCTCTGATATAATACCCAAGCTTGAAAAGTGGATGTTTCTTGAAGATGAGTAGCAATCGTTAATGGTGTATTTCATGCTGTTTTACATCAAAACCTATCAAATTATCTTGTTCTTAAATGGATATTTTCACTTGTGATTTCCAACATCACAAACGTCTTGAAATATGCCCAGGGACTCCCATAGGCTGCTGGACCATACTTTGAAGAAACCCTGTTGTAGGGTGAAGAACTCGGCACTTTCTCCCATTTCATCTGTGCATCTCAGGAGGCCATCACGGATATAGATGGTCTAAGCTTTAACTCTCTTTCTGTGTGCGCTTTGTTACCAGGAAAGCCTTTCATGTATGTGAATGCTACAGACCTGGATGATCCAACTACTCTCAATGGCCAACTTTTTTATCAGATCGTCATCCAGCTCCCCTTAATCAACAATGTTAGGTACTTCCAGATCGACAATAAAACTGGAGGGATATCACTTACCCAAGAAGGTAAGTCAAGGCAGGCCCTGGTGAGCCTCAGCCCGAGGAAGGGCTGCCATCTTTGGAGACGTGTGCTTTCTTCTTCTTCTCCCCTGCTTACTATAGGGTCCCAGGAACTGGATCCAGTTAAGAATGCTTTCTACAGTCTGGTGGTCTCAGTGAAGGACATGGGGGGCCAGAATGAGAATTCCTTCAGTGACACCACGTCTGTGGATATTACTGTGAGGGAGAACATCTGGAAAGCACCAGAGGCTGTGGAGATTACAGAAAACTCAACTGCTCCTCACCCCATCAAAATCACCCAGGTAGTGTCCAAGTGGCACCTACAGTTGACTGAGATCCATACCCTGTGGTGTAGGGACCTACCTTTGTGGTCTTTTAATTGTTTTACTAGACACATTTTGCATCATGTAATTGCGAAGCAAATTAAGTAACCAAGGCCCTACACCTCTGGAGTTTATCATCACTAGCAGAAAACTTGCCCCCCCCACACACACGTGTGCAAATGCGCATAAACACACAAACCGTCAGAGAGGAGACTTCACTCACACTCACTTTAGGAGATGCTGTGGTGTTTTGTTGTTCACATCAAGCAGTGTGAAATATGGCTGCTTTGGCATGTGGCATGTGGTAAACTCTCAATACATGTCGTTAGTAGCAATATCAGAGAAGCAGGCCCATCTATGTATCCGGTCTGATATAGTACTTCTATAGAGGGCTTTTTGTTGTTTGTAAAATAGCTCTAGAGGTTGGCAGCTCCTTTTCCCCCTGAAATCCTCCAGACTTAAATATCTGAGGGAGTGAACTCACTTGTGTACCATGTATCTGGACAAAACGAATGAGGAAGAGTCTACCGTCTCAACCTGTGGGGGTTGAACGACCCTTTCACAGGAGTTAATATCAGATATCCTGCTTATTGGATATTTACATTACAATTCCACACAGTAGCAAAATTACAGTCATAAAGTAGCAACAAAAATAAGTTTATGGCGGGGGGTCACCACGACCCGAGGGACTGTATGAAAGGATCGCAGGGCAACGATAGGAAGGTTGAGAGCCACCAGTCTAAGGTGTCTTCTATTGATCTCAATTCATCTGAATGTGGGTTCTAGAAGATCATCACGCATCATGGTTTAGTCATGGAGTATGCCAGCTGTGAAGTACACTTTGCTTTGTAAATGGATCTTACATGCCATCAGAGTTCTAGAAGAAAACCACCTACAGACTCTTCCACGTGTTTGCAAGGAGTCATTCCCTTGTCTGCGTGCTTTTAAAATTAGTTTAGGTTGAAAAACATTTTAAATGTAGCTCAGTTGTCCTAAGAAATCAGTGTCCTGCAGACAGACGTGTGAGAACTTCTGAAGTGAGAATCCAGGAGTTGCTTATTGCCTTTCGGGCTGTTTGTCCGATCAATCTCTGCTCACCATCCACTTTGGTCATGCAGGTGCAGTGGAACGACCCAGGTGCTCACTATTCCTTAGTCAACAAGGAGAAGCTGCCACAATTCCCCTTCTCTATTGACCAGGATGGAAATATTTATGTGACTCAGCCCTTGGACCGAGAGGAAAAGGACTCGGTAAGTAAAGTAAAGCGGAAAGCATCACAGGCATCAAGACAGATTCTGTGTCTGCTTTCCATTGAGGACAAAATTGATTGTACATTACAAACAAACAAGCAAAAAGCCTGTGTTCTAGATCCTAGAAGTTTATGGGTTCTCAAAGACACAATAATTTGATAACTTTCCTACAAGCTCAACACATTTCACCCACCCACCCCTATTTCAGTTCTAAGTACATTTACTCTAAGGCAAGCAGCGTTGGCAAATGCAACAGTTCTTTTTCTCTAGCTATTCAAGTGGACAGTGATGGACAGTAACTCTGACCTTCATATTACAGCATGTTTTCTTTGCAACTGCCAAGGATGAGAATGGAAAACTCCTTGCATTCCCACTGGACATTCACGTGAAAGTTATTGACATTAATGATAACCCACCAACGTGTCCATCTAAGGTGACTGTATTTGAAGTCCAGGAGAATGAACTAGTGGGTAAGAAAAGAGAACTGTCGGATGCCATGTGCCTGTCTTCCTTCTGGGAGCCCTTTCTAGCCTGGAGTGTCGGGTAGCTCTGTTCTTCAGTCCACTGCCCACATATAGTGCAGCGTAGACATGGAAGGTACCATGTGGATCACACGGGCACGATGTTTTGAACGCACAGTATCTCTAGTCCTCTTAAGTTGGGACCTTTTGTAGCTGCCACCATCACTGTTGTTTCAATGGCAGTCATCAGCAGTACTGCCCACCATTCACCACTGCACAGCAGCATCCTGTATACATTTACAGGAGTGGCCCCCTTCAGTTATCTCATTTGACTGCGAAGCAACTCACTGTAAAGAGAGAAAACCTCATCCAACTTGCAAAAAAACCAGATCATTTCTATCCACAGTCAGGCATTCCACAATGAGTAGGTAGAACCAAGATCAACTTAACCCCGCGTCTCCTCTCTCTAGGAAACCACTGGTAACCAGGGAAGCTGGCAAGTTAAGCCCCGGGCATGCTTGCCCATTTGATCTTTCTATGTTTGAAAAAAAAAAAAAAAAAAACTGTCTCTCCTGACAGCTTTAAGTCTGTATAAGGACAGCACTATAAGAATGTTAATGGTTTCTGAGTTTGTGGTCTCTTCCCTGGATTTGGGATTTTTGTCTGTTTCCTTCTTGGAGTTGAGCCATTGAGTAAGCTGGTGTTTCTTATGTGTTTGAATGGTATGCTTTCTAGTTTTACGAGACTGGCCACTTTGCTCTCCTCATGGGTAGGGCCTTCCTGTCTAGGGATGGACATTCTCACCAGTATACTTCTGTTCTGGCAGCAACACAGCTTTGACTCAGCAATGGCTTTCCTGGTGGCTTGGCAGGTTTTCCTCCCTTGTGGTCATTCTTTTCCTCCTGGGGTTAGATGTCACCCAAAGGTTAGTATCAGTGTGTCCTGTGGAGGTCTTCTTCGTTTCATCTATTGCAATTCTTGCTTCATCAGGAAGGATTAGATCATAGCTTGAATAATTTCCATAGATATAAGGAATGAAGTCACAGTGAGACTTTATTTTGTAAAAGTATTTCATGAAGTATGTAAAGGAAGAAGAATTCTATTAGAAATCAACTGGATATGTTTTCTATATGCAGCCTGTGAGAGGCATAGACAGCCTCCTTCCTGGGGGTTCGAGCCTCAGGTTAGCTATCAAGACATGCACAGGCAGAAACATTAACACACAAAGCACTGACCTATTTCTCCTAAGGTTACAGTGTCCTCTTGGTCTCTTTGTACAGTCAGTATCTTGTAAGACTTGTATTCCAAAATCTTATCAGCAGCAACTGTAATTCCTGAATCTCACTTGGAACCAAGACCAGGAATTTCAGCTTCTCATGAGGTCCTCCCACCTTAAAAAAACTTCTGGATGCTGGGTACATCCCCAATCAGCACAGGTTGTCCCTCGTCTTGACTTCACTCTCTCAAAGGCAGGGTCCTCGGTTCACTTCTGGTTCATCCAGAGCCCCCCTCCCCCGCCCCCGGCTCTCACCAAGCGATGTCTGTGATGCCAACAGTCCTCATTATGTCTCTGGCAGCTGGGACTTTCCTGTGGAGAGAACAGTGTTGCTTTCACAGCATCGCATGTACTTGCCTAGAGGAAATGTTCAAAATACTTTCCTTGTGAGAGGACATGTATTGCCACAAACTGTCCTTGGTTGTGACGCGCTGGGAAAGAAATAGCTGAGCCCAAACTCATAATGGTCCCTAAGTCCAGCCCTTATGCCCTGTGGGTGCCCAGCACCACTGCAGAAATAGTACTTCCCATTTCCACCCTCCAAAACCCAGCCCGGTAAGAGTCTAGAAAAGCCATTGGGGTAAGCTGATGCAAATGAAGGGTATGATCCAGGTCAAACAAACAATGGCTTTAATTCAAATACAACTCAGGAGGGATTCTTACTGCATGTCAGGAAACCCACAGTTCCCCTTCCCATTCTACAGATCTGGGTGGGCCCAGAATCTATGAGAACTTGCTCAAAGCTGGTGGGACACAGGATCACATCTACAGCCTCTGGAGGTCCTGGGCCAAAACCCTCACAGGCTGGAATACACAGGGTCCTGTCATATGGGGGGGGCAGGTTTGTGTGTGTATGTGTGTGTGTGTGTGAGAGAGAGAGAGAGAGAGAGAGAAGAGAGAGAGAGAAAGACAGAGAGAGACTATTGTTTGTGTGCTGTCTTTGAAGTGGAGTCAGCCTCTGTGGTTGTTCATGAAGCTCTCAGAAGCATCCAGGAGTGATTCCTTCTACTTTAGCTGTGCGTTATCTAGTATGTTAGTGCCTTGGGGCTCTGGTAATGAAGCATCACAAATTTGAACCTCTCCGTTCTTGCTGGTGGGGAGTCTGAAGTCATGGTGATAGGATCTTTTGGGGAGAGCCCGTTTCCTCTTCGGACTTAAGCTGGCTGCTGACTGCAGTCTGCAGCTCTATTTCCTTCTCTTCCTCCCATCTCCCTGTGTCTCCATATCCTCTATTCTTGTAAGGGTTGACTTCTCAGAAACCCAGCTGGTTATGTCTCTCCAATAGCCCCATTTTCAAATAAGGTCCCATAGTGAGGTTTCGGGTGGACGTCAATTTCTTTGGTTGGGTGAGAAGCAGGAATTATATCATGCTGAACTGTCTCTTAGAGTTAGGATACCAGCACATAAGTTCCTATGTGGGCTAAATTGTCCCCCTCCACAGCATCTGATAACGTCCTATTTCCTAGAACTTCAGAATAAGGCTTTTTGGATAGAGACTTTTTAAATAGGAAACTAATGTAGGATGAGGGGGCTCAGAAGACAGCATAGTCAGTACATTGCTTGCCTTGAAACTATAAGACCCAATTAAATCCCTTGACACAGATGCACAAAGCCAGGCATGGTGGCACATACATGGGGAGGAAGAGACAGGTAGATTCCTGGGGTTCACTGGCAACTTAAACCTACTTGGCAAGGTTTTACACACACACACACACACACACACACACACACACACACGGGCAGAAAGAGAGAGAGAGAGAGAGAGAGAGAGAGAGAGAGAGAGAGAGAGAGAGAGAGAACCCACCTACTTCAAAACAAACAAAAGAACGGGTAAAAAGCAAGATTGGTAGCTTCTGAGGAATGATGCTAAGATTGCCCCCTGACTTCCACATCTACATGTATGTACATACACCAGCACACACAGAGGCATGTAAGGTGAGGACCCAACAGTGGGCCTTAATCTAATCTGACTGGAGTTCCTATAATAAATTTGGATGCCATGCAGAGAGAAAATGCATTGGGAGGAAGAAATAGCCAAGGGAGAGGAGTTTGAAGGAAAACTACCTTCTTAACCCTCGATTTCACCTTTCCAATCTGCAGGACTCTGAGAAAGCAGGTTTTTTTTTTTTTTTTTTTTTTTTTTTAAAGCCCCTCAGTCCATCATACTTTATGTCAGCATTGGCGAACTAATCTATCAGTGTTCCATGGAAAAATACAAGGAGCCAACACAATTCTAAATGTCTTTGTCCACCACCCCAAATTGCTCCCCATGTTTTCTAGGAAGCTGGGTTGTGAATTGCATGGAGCTGGTGTGACTGGGGGTCCTTTCCTCTCCACAGGTAGCAGCATCGGATTCTTTATTGCCCACGACATGGATGAAGCAAACACCGTTAACAGTATTTTGAAGTACAAGCTTGTAGACCAAACCCCCAAAATTCCTTCAGATGGGCTCTTTCTCATTCAAGAATATGAGGGAAAGGTCCAGTTAGGGAAACACTCCTTGAAGAAGCAAGACAATCCTCAGTACAACTTGACGGTCGAGGTGGCTGACAAAGGTGAGTCCTGCTCCTGTGTGGTGAGTAGACAGTGACCCTCGTTCTACTTAAGATCTCAGAGGCCTTTCACATGCCGGTAGACTTCTCTGCTTCCTTTGTGAGTTCGAGAAACCCAGATGTGGTGTTTTCACAAGAGACATTTGTGCGGATCAGGCAAAATTTTGTTGTTTTGGGTCCTCTGAGAACCAAGAGTCAAGAGGGATCTAGTGATGTCTCAGAGGGGTTGCCTTTGAGGAGAATGGGAGTGAAGCTGTGGTGTCTCAGAGGTCACCAGACAGTAACTCTGACTTGCTCGTCATGGAAGGAGCGCTGATGGGAATGTTCTGGACCAGGAGAAGTCTGAGGAGAATTCCAAATGGCTGTCTGGAATTCTTCAGTGCATTACCTCTGGGGATGGGCCTGTCTTTGCATCACAACTGGCTCAGTAATTGGCTGGGGGGCAGCCAATGGGAGATGAGGCCTTGGTGCAAAATGCAGTGTTGGCCACAGTGTAACAGTGTGGCCAGCAGGTTATTAGTTGAGTTGTTAAAAGTCTGCCGGGCACAATCTCACGGCTACCATAATCACAAATCAGGAAAGCAAATTCTCTTTCCCTGCCCTCACTTTCAGACTCAAAAGATCTGCAAATGAAAGTGGTGGAGAAATATGTCTTTGGAGTGTTCTTCCTTTTCCTGTCAGCTTCTCACTGCGTGCTATGCAATACCATGTGCCTTCCCTTAATCCTTGTAGACTGTCAAAGCTGGTCGCTCTTAACGTCTGTTGGGGCAGAGGAATCTTTAAGACTCTCTTGGAAACTTCCCATTCTCAAACCCATCTCCACACCCACAGACGAATGTGCTACTCTTTCTGGGACATTCAGATTCCTCCGGGTAACTGCTTCATGAAATAGGTCTGCAATTGTTTTCTAAGGACTGCAGCTTGCATAGGTGTGGCAAAGAAAAGGACCCTGGTTCACATGTTTAATTCACGGTTTGCATTGTCGATGTCCTGGGAGAACTCGAGTTTAGCAGGCTCCAATACAAAATGCCTGTCTGCCAAGTTTCCAGGAAAGCTGCTAACTTGGTGCACAATGGGGGCCCGATGCTGTTTAGCACTGTTAGAAGGCACAGTGAGGTGAGTGTAATAAACTACCCTATCTGTGGGAAAGCAGCAGATTCTCACCTCCGGGTACCCATGCTTTCAGCATCTGATCGTTTGCTTTGCAGAAGTAGCACACAAAGCATTGGGGGCGCGCAGATGAACAAGACCCTGTGTCTTGGGGCTCTCATTTGTCAAGAAAGGTGGGCACAGAAGTCAACAAGGTGTAGGGACACACACAGGGAATCCCACGGATGAGGGAGAGAGCAGGTAAGGCTGTCTAGAGCATTAGTTTACCTAACTTCCAGTTTAGGTGAGCAAAGTTTTGAGGATAACTTATGGAAGGGTGGGGATTCCATGTGCAAAGACATAAGAACCTGAAGTAGTTTGAAGTGTAAGCGTAGAGGGGGCTGGAGAGGTAGCTCAGTGGTTATAAGTACTTACTGTTCTTCCAGAGCGACCATGGTTTTGTTCCTAGGACCCATGGTGGGTGGCTCACAACTGCCTGGAACCCTAGTTCCAGCAGATCCAACATCCACCTCTGATTTCTACATGCATCCATTAAACAAGCAGCTCTTTGTCACACACGTCTGTAATCCCAGTCCTGGGAAGTAAGAGACAACAAACTTCTCGTCAGGACTCATGCCCAGCCGGCTTAGTCTGTTTGTCATGTTCTAGGCCAGTGAGAGAGACAATAGCAGGAAGAAAAAGGTGGATAGCATCTGAGGAATGATACCCGAGGTTCACACACACACACACACACACACACACAGAGGCGCACACACACATGAATGAGTACATGTGCTCGTGCACACAAGAAAAAGAAGGAAGAACCTAGTAATCAGGAAACCCATCACGTCCCAAACAAGGCTTTTGAAGACTGGAGCCAGTAAGTTCAGAGCTCTAAACCAACCCATTCCTATCTGCAGATGCTCTGGGGGATCAGCTCCAACTTTCATCAATTTCTGTTTGGTCATAATCAGATTAGAAATTGTATTCATGGCTAATGCACTGAGCCCAAGCTCTGGGGGTGATTATGTGGGCAGATCAGCGAGGACGACAGCTGGAAGTCGAAGGTTTTCTCAAAAGGCCAAAATAGTTTAAAGGAAGCACAGTTAAGGGGAGCTAACAAGGGGTATGATGTGGGGACGCTTCACCACCCTGGAGCCCGAAAGGACTTCAGAAGACGGGAAGACCTGTGCTCAGACAGGGAAGAGGGACATACCACCACTTTCTTCTTGTCCTTCTTCCGGTCTCCTGCCAAGTCCCCATTGGCAGAACCTAGGTGTTAGTGGAAGAGCGAGGGCATCACCCATGAGGTTCAGACAGCCTGGATCCGAACACAGAGCAGAATAAAAGTTAACAGGAGAAGACAAGGGAATACTGGCCCTACTGTCACTTGTGCGATCTTAGGCGGGTTTCCTAATGTCTCTACTTCCTGGCTTCTGCATTAAAAAGAAAGTAAATGAGGATGATAATGGCATGCACATTATGAAGTGATTATGACAAAAGAGGAGTAAGGAAGACGAGGCCTGTCACACAGGGCTTGGTACATTTGTGTTAGGATGGGGACCTTGGTTTTGTTGTTCCTCACACTGTGGATACGCTGATGGGACACAGACACATACAGTGACACTCTCATGTTCTCACACTTCTGGTATATGGAAGAGCCAGAATTCAAATAATGGGGTTCCAGTGTATTATAGTTTCAAAGATGGCAGCACCCTTCTTCCCCAATAACTTACTCTCCTTTGCCATTCTGGCTTTCTTCCTAGATAGCTTCCCACAGCACGCCTGCCGGCCATGCTCATCTTGGACCCAGAATCCAAGTACTAGTTCTAACTGGTCCTTGACTTGTCAAGCCACGCTCAAAGCTTTGCATTTCCCAGGGTTCTGTGCGCCACCTCTTAGCCTCCCTTGGAAGTGAATTATGCTACTTTCTCTTTTACTTGGAGGAGAGGAACCCTGGTGGCCTTGGACCTCTCCAGTGTGCTAGGGGATACTGATGCTGGACAGAGGTACTCAGAGAAGGAAAGGCAGCCTGTGGGATGCTCAGCAGCATTGCTGCAAGGGACAGACTTTGCTTTGGACATAACATCTGCCTGTCCCAGAAGGGAGGCTGCTTCACAGGGAAGCAGCCATCTTGCACGGCGATAAAGCCCTCCCCCGGATGGGGCAGGAGGAAGCTCAGGGACCCAGCATCTCAGGGCCTGGTCTGGCTTTCACCTCCTCTCCATGACCTGCTTGTGGGTAAGGTGGGGAGCATAGCAGCCTCCATTCACAAGGACTGTGCACTTGTCGAAGTGGCGGTCAGATCATTTGCCAGTATTTCCTTACCAAGTCCTGGTACCAGTGCATGATTTTCAGTGAGAATTTTGTGGTGTGACTTTGGTTTTCAGATTTCAAGACCCTCTGTTCTGTGCAAGTCAACGTTATTGATATCAACGATCAGATCCCCATCTTTGAAGTATCAGATGTGAGTGGATGTCACCATTTGTTTTATCTTTATTTTGGTCATATTACTGTTTAAATAAAAACACAAAGTGCCAGGTAGCCTGGGCAATGTGCCAACAAAAACTAGGTGCCACCTTTAGCATGAGTCCTCGGGGACACTAGGATATACTGCTAGTATCTGGGAATGTCTGTTTATAATCTTCTTCAGATTGAAAGATGAATGATGGCTGCTTGTAGCTTGTCATAGGTTTTTTTTTTTTTTTTTGCATGTAATAGACAGTAGGTAGAGTGCTACTTGATCTTTTCTAAGCATTTGGGATAACATAGTACCATCAGAAATATTGACAACTTTAACTCATTTTGTATTTAACCAGGTAAGAGGAAAGGGAAAGAAAAAAGCAAGTCTCTGGCTTAAGTCTAAAAAGAATGTGTTCCATGTATTTGCAAGAATTAGAACTGGGCATAGAAAAGGAGTATCAATCAAAAAGACATCAAGGCAAATGCTATAGTGATGGTGTGGCATCATCCTCATTCCCTTAAAAGGGATGTCCTAATTTATTTAGCTCAAGGGAGAGTGAGGACCATTTGACTAGCTTGTTATGGTAGCAGTCAGTTTTGAGGCAGCCCAGAGCCTTCTGATGATGTTCATAAATCAAAACAGAGACAAGGCCGAGAAAAAGAAAGGAACTGATTTATGGTGGGTCTCAGAACCGTAAGAAGTGTGATGGGACGTATCTTGTTTAACAGGCACTGAGGTTAAGTAAGCATGAAATAAAGAACTCGTTTCGTCTCAGCCTCGACTCTCCAGGTGTTGGGGCTTCCCTGCATTTTACCAGACTTTGGTCAAGCAGAAAAATTCTGCAGTGGGGAGTTTAAAAGCGTGGAGATGCGAACCTGACCAGAGAGGAAGGGGCTGGCTTATTCTGTTGCCAGTATCTTCTCTTGGACACTGGCTGCTACCATTTTTGAGATGGTGATGCAGAAAGAGTGGATCTTGGGGCTTCAGGGGAGTCAGGATGCTTTATAGGAGTATGAAGAACATGGGTTTTGCAAGTTTGGGTTTTATCATACCATGCTGGCCTGGGTGGGGTTTACCATGCCAACCCTTGGCTCGTCTGTCAAATGTCACTGGTAAGTTTGCTGCCCTCTGGGGTATTTTAGTGCTCATCTTTCACAAGCATGGTGTGCCAGCCATCCAGGGCTTTACATGCATCATCTTTCTTAAAATGGTAGGTTGCATTTTGCTGTCAGACAAGCGATCAAGCCCACGTTTAAAGAAATGTGGTAACTACGTCATCCAACTGGCAAATAGCAAGTTTAGGATTTGTAGCCAGTTTTTTTTCAGTGTTTTGAGCTCCTAATCTCTATTCCTTAGTTGATTCAAGAATTAGAAGTATCTGTCACATCAGAGGCATTTCACATATTATGGCTATTTATGTCATTATTATTCGAATATTTGTAGTACTTAAGTATGTTGGGTGTTGGAGGGGAAATCCATGTTAGAATCCTTCTAGAATGTCTAAGATGTTGTGTTCCTTGGTATAGCTTTCAGTTCACAGGGACAAATGATGTTAAAACCAACCTATAACACGTCCATCAAGAGAAAAACTGTGCTGGGTGTTAGTGCCAGCAGTGACCTCTGTCCTGAACTGAGACACTTGCCTTTTGGCAATTAAGCTCAGTGACAGTGGACATTCTGCTTCCTTTCCCTTCCCTGTTTCTTCTTTAGTATGGAAACATGACTCTCCCTGAAGACACAGCCGTTGGATCCACCATCTTAGTCATCCAAGCCACGGATGCGGATGAGCCCTTTACTGGCAGCTCTAAAATCCTTTACAAGGTTGTCCAGGGAGACCCCGAGGGAAGACTGGAAGTCGTCACAGATCCCCAGACCAATGCAGGATATGTCAAGATCAAAAAGGTAGACAGCCACTTACTGATTATTTTTATTAACTAACTTTATTCATTTAATTTTTCATCCTGACTGCAGTTCCCCCTCCTTCTCCTCCCATCCCCTCCCCCACCTCATCTCTGTTCCCCGCCCCCACTCACTTCTCCTTTGCTTCTGTCTAGGAAGGTACTGGCCTCCCATGGGTATCAACAAAGCATGGCTTAGCAAGTTGTAGTAAGACTAAGCTTGTATTAAGACTGGGCAAGGGATATGTATGAGGAATAGATTCCCAACATCCAGCCAAAGTGTTAGGGACAGCCCCTGCTCCCACTGCTAGGAGTCCCACAAGTAGACCAAGCTACACAAGGGACCTAGGTTGTTCCCATGCAGGTTCCCTGGCTGTCAGTCCAGACTCAGTGAGCTCCTATGAGCCCAGATTCATTGTTTCTGTCTGTTCCCTGTGCCATCCTTCAACAACAACAACAACAACAACCACATACACACACCCATTCACTCGTACAATTCTTTCTCGCTCTCTTCAGCAGGATTCCCTGAGCTTGGCCCAGTGCTTGGCTATGGGTCTCTACATCTGTTTCCATCAGTTTCTGGATGAAAGCTCTCTGATGACAGTTGGAGTTGTCACCAATCTATGAGTATAGCAGAATATTGATAGGCATCATTACATTGGCATTTTATTTTTTTCTCCAATCATGTTTGATTCTATCCCAGGTCTCTGGACCATCCAGCCTCTAAGTCCTGGCACTTTAGTCAGTGTCAAGGGTGAGCTCACTCTAGTGGTGACCAGTCATTGGTTGGCCACTCCTAAAATCTCCACACCACCATTAACCTCCCCCCCAGCCCCAGCAACACACACACATATCCCATAGGCAGGACAGACTGTAGGTCAAAAGAGGTTGTGGCTGGTATCCTAAACCCTCTACTGTAAGTCCTGCCTGGTCACTGGAGATGGGCAGTTCAGGCTACGCATCACTATTGCGAGGAGTCTTAGCTGGGTTCATCCTTGTAGATTCCTGGGAGTTTCTACCTGACCCCGAAATGCCCCACCCTGCTTTCCAGTCATCTCTTTTAGTACCCTCCCCCTCCTTCACCCACACCAACCTGATCCCTCCTGCTCCCCTCCCCATCCAACCCCAGTCTACCTACAAAATCTCTTCTATTTGCCCTTCCCCGGGAGATCCATGCATCCCCCTCCGAGCCCTCCTTGTTACCTAGTCTCTCTGGGTGTGTGGATTAGGGCATGGTTATCTTTTACTTTATAGCTAATACCCCCTTCTGAGTTAGGACATACCATGTTTGTCTTTCTGGGTTACCCCACTCAGAATGATATTTTTTCTAGCTCTATCCATTTGCCTTCGAATTTCATGATATCATTTCTTTTAACAGCTGAGTAATACTCCATTGTGTAAATGTACCACATCTTCTTTATCCATTCTTTGGTTGAGGGGACATCTAGGTTGTTTCCAGGTTCTGGCTATTATGAATGAATAAAGCTTCTATGAACATAGTTGAGCAGCACTTAATGATTAGCAATACAGTAAATAAAGCAGATGATAGTCTACTTGTGATTGTGCCAGGACCAATAGGCAGAGGCGACCTAGTCACAGTGTGCTCTCTGGTTTGGCAGATTTTCTCTCATTCTTGCCCCTGGAAAGAAAATCAAAGTTCTAGTTGTAATCTGTCATTAACTGACCAAGTATTTAGTGTTGCCAGTTGGGGTTCCTAAATACAGTATGAACAATTTTTAAATATAAACATGTCTCACTTTATATTAAAAGTTTTATATTAAGACCTCTTTATCTGAAATGAAGGGACTCTTGATTTTTTTTTTCTGAATTTGGCAGCCATGCAGTAGTAGGGATGGAGTGAGCATGTGGGTTTCACCCCCCCTTTTAGGTGGAAAACTCTTGTACCAGCTTACCTGGTACAGATGATTGTTGAATAGGATGGGGATTGTGGATTTGTTCATGGTTTGATGGACAAGTTTGTTTTTTAGCCCCTCACCTTGCAAGCGGAGTCCTAGGCTGGGGGTGCCATTCTGGGGAGTCTGGCCACCCTCTATGAAAACAGACAGTAGCAATGGTGAGGGGCAGGAAAGGATCTTAACCAGCAGGTACATTGGGAAGACAGATATGCTTAGGAGAACTGACAGAGGAGGAGCAGGGGCGAGGGGCATACATAATTAAGTGGTCCCAATCACCAAAGGGAGCCATCTGGTACCCATGTGATGATATCTCCTGCTTAGCGCCGATCTGTTTGCAATGTCTACTGTTTTTAGATTTCAAGGTAGCTGTGAGCGTAGGGTTAGGACAATGAGTGACACTTTCAGATGCATTTTGGGATGATCTGGAACAAGATGCTACAAAACCTGGCAGGAAGTTGCCTCAATTACTCTTACCTTGAATGGGGATGAGAATTTTAGATTCATTTCTAATTTTTAAGTGTGTGTGTGTATGGTGTGTAAATGCCCATGGAGTCCAGAAGACATGGAAACAAACTAAGGTCCTCCATAGAAGTTTAACTGCTAAGCCTTCACTCCAGCTCCAGGGGTGAGACTGTGGATGCAAGCTCCTTAAGTGATTGACATGGCCCCACACAGAACAGAGCTGAGCCGGAAGCTGATCTGAAGTTCTAAGACAAAAGTGACAGATGGGAAGTGGGGGGGGGAGGGGAGTAGGGGGAGGCAGATGACAGACTTTTACCCTGCTTTTAGCTAGCATGTGAGTCCAAATGAGGGGTAATGCTTTCACAGAAAGTAGCTTCTGAGAACTGAAGCTACACCCTGCTTTCCCCCTTTCTAGAAAGACCAGAGTGTTTGGAGACGAGTTATCAATTCATAGTTCCCACTCTTTCTCCAGGGTCCCTCCAACTTTCATCCATTTCGTGTACAGCCTACTTCCTTCCCTCACCGTGTACCCGAGTCTTGAGCCTTTCTTCTGTAGCTGCTTAGTTTGTATTAGAACCCATAACGGGTTTACCAGATGACTCATTTGGAGCCAGCACTACTAAACATCATCCAACACATGTTGAGTTAAAGCACTTTCCACAACGGGAATGTGAAGCCTCCTGGTTAAACGGAGGAGAGGTGCAACAGAGGATCTTCTTGGTGCTGCTGGTTCGTTGGGGCTGCAAAAGAAAAGCCAAGGGCAGTTTTGAACTGGAGTCATGGAAAGCTGAATTACTGCTGAAGCTGAAGTAAATGCTAAAATGAAGGTCAAGTAGAATAGTTGTATAGAAAATGAAAAAGAACAAGGGAAAAAAGAATGGTGGCTCTGAGCCAATCCACAGGCGGGCACCTGCTATTTGAATGTGAAATGCGGCCCAGTCTTGTGTGTTTGGACTCTTGGTTTCAAGCTGGTGTGCTGTGTTGTGAGGGTGTGGAATCTCCAGGGGGTGAGGCTTTGCTGGAGGAAGTATGTCACTAGGGCCAGAGCTGAGAAGGTTTCAGACCAGCCTTACTTCGCTCCACTTCTTTGTTTTCTGACTGCAGACATGATACGGTCAGCCACATCTTCTTTGCTGTGCTGGGCTTAGCTTAAGCTGTTAACCGAAATGAGCCTGTTCTCCCTTACATTACGCCATATTCAGTATTTGGTCACAGCAACAAGAAAAGATGGCACAGTTGTCACTTCTACCCCATCTGACAAAGGTACGAGCTCAGCAGAGTTCAGTGTGTAAGACCCTCAACCTTCTGTGACGTCCGGTATTTGGAGAAGCTGCCCTCACAGACTCCCCTTCCATCCCTGGCTATCTCCGTGGAGGGCGAACCTGGAAAGGATGAGGGAAGGGGTGTTTTCAGAGTCGGCAGTGGGTAACCTGCAAAGCAAAGTATGACTCTTTCTCCTCCTACCACTCCAGGGACTGAGGGCAGATGGGGGATGCCTGTCTCAGTGAACAACTGCCATATGCTATTTTCTTCTTTGTGGTATCTTATCATGTGCCACCCACGCTAACGTGACTACGTGTGGTGATTGGAGAGGTGTAGTTGTCTATCCACATTAGCCTTGTATAAGGTACCATTACAGTGGCCACTCACCAAACCCTTGTCATCCTTATTTTGCATGTTGCGGTACTTCCCATGTCTAGAATACTGTTTGACACATGATACGTGAAGGTATCGAGTGTTCCTTGACTGAATGAATAATTGAAATTTGTTTCGTGTACAATTACTAATAGTCACATAAGCGATTGTTGAACCTGCATGTTAGGGCCCTGAAGTCTCAGCTCTCTGTCCCCCAGGCACTGTGACAGCAGGACTTGAGTGACAGAATGTGGCAGGCTGACCATGGGAAGGTAATCTCAGAACACAGCTGGAGTCCTGAAACTCTGAAGGGCACAGACTGTACCAGAGCCTTAAACTCCTGTTTGCAGTGATCAAGACAGATACTGTGCCCAACTAAGTTCTTAAATACCCTCTCCCCACATCACCAAGCATACCTCTGCAAGAGCATTTTGCCAATGGATAGACACGGTGCTGATGGACAATGTAGCTGGAGGCTCCGGTGGCTTCCTCTGCAGCATGGACCCAAGATTAGGGTCTTTAAATGCTAAGCTACAACAAAACCCTCTGGGATAGAGTTTTGCTTAGGATGCACCAACTTTTAGCCCATTGGATATAAAATGCATACGACAAATGTATATATTCACAATTTGTAGGTTTGAATGTGTAAGTTGTATAATGTATACACATGTGTGAGAGCGCATCCAGGAAGCCAGGCAAGGGTGTTGGGTATCCTGTTATATTATTGCCACCTTATTCCCTTGAGACAAAGTCTCTCATTGAGCCTGGGGCTAGGCTGGCAGCCAGCAAGCTCCACAGATATCCCTGTCTCCAGTTACATATGTGACCATTCCTAGCATTTTTAAATATAAACACTGGAGATTGGAGTTCAGGTTCTTGTTCAGCAAGCGCTATTATCCACTAAGCCATCTCTCTGTCCTTACCCATAATGGTTTTGCCAAATGGTGGTTTATATCTGTTATAGACTCTATAATGCTGTTTCTTAAGAATGGCTCAGTCTTGCTTGCACGCTCTTGCTTATGGATATGCAAAGGGCCAGTTGGCTTCAGTTGCTTTTGAAGATCAGTCACGCTTGGTATACACCAGGGGCTGTACCACAGCTTCTTTAGAGGAAAGCTCGGAAACCTGGAGTTTTGAAAAGCCTCCTGTGCAGTGCTTTGATATCTACAGCTCATGGAGATGATCCATCTTCTCTGAGTTTCACGGGATACTGGATGGTCATGTTCTCACAGCTGAGCTAGTGTCAGTAATGAGAGATGGTATTTGTTACTGTTTATTATTTTAGTTATTCCTGCTACATCAGTATTTTTCCTGAGACCTCTTTTCTTGGAATTCAGAGTTTGCTTCGGTTTTTATTTTTATATAAAAGTTTGCCCCTTCCCCATTATGGGTAGTCCTTTTGAATTCTCGAGGCATGGATATTTTAACTAATGCAGGCACCAGCTGGAAATTCAGGATGGGTATGATTTCTGTGTGGTGAAAGGTGAAATGTCCTGTCCTGGACCCTTCTGTCAGCATGTTATCTATTTACAGATTGAATCTAAACCCATGACTTGACCTTTAAGGCAGTTGGATGCAGAGGGCAAGTCTGGACAAAGGAAGTCTTCTGTTTATCTGATGAATGTGTCCCCATGGATCTCTTGACTTGGCTTTTAGCCACCAGTGCTATGAAAGCCTGCATGGATGGATTCAGCTGTGTTTGTTCAGAGTTGCTCATCTAGTGCCTTCTAACTTTTTGTTGTTGCGAAAGGTCTTGTTGGGCAGTAGTCAGATGTGCAAGTTAGGCAGAGAGCACAACTGCTCAGCAGTAGACTGCTCCTTTGTTTCTTGTCACACCATTCAATAGGCATCGAGGGAACACTTCTGAAACACAGCCTGACCTTGCAGGTCAAGAATAAAGTCCCTTGTCTTTGGCTTGATGTCTAGCACTCTCTGTCATCTTTCTCATTTTGCCTGTGTGTTCTGTTCTAGCACCGCAGGCTCCTCTTCATCTGTGGACACAAGGGCACATTGCCTGACCCCTTAGCTCTAGGGCTGTCGTTGTGGATGAAGAAGTCAGGCAGGAGACTCAGGGCTTGCGTGGTGACAGGGGTAGACAGGCTTCCCTTGCCTAGGTGTGTAGACGGTTGTTATGTCTACTCGAGTCTGGGTTAGTGTCACTGTTGTGGCAGGCTGGTACATCAGTTGGAGTGCCATCTACTTTTGTCTTCTTGCCTTGACTTTCTAGGGTCTTCTTCCCTGATGTGTGTACTGGGCACCAACCTTAGTGGGACACTCTTGTTGTCACCCTCTGGGGTTCGGAGTGACTCCCAGGACTGCTGAGCACAGAAGGGCCCTGTTAGATTATCGATCATTAGACCAATAGGCTACTGAGAGTCCGTGCCCAGCAGCCAGTGCGTCCTTATCTCTATGAACAGCTTCACCTTTTATATTCACATGAGTAAACAAATGCCATTGATTCTTATACTTTACTCCATGTGACCATGACTTTTACAATTCTCTCTCTTGGGCTGCTCATTGTGTTTATGAGTTATGGGTTGAGATGCCAGGATATGTGTATGGGTAAGGGGTTTCTGGGGAGAAAGGGTGGTCTTTACAATTTTCTTTCCATCCAAACTCTCAAGGATCTATGTATCCTCTAACTGATGTACTGTGGGTACCGTGTGCCAGGGAGACAAAAAGTAAATGGAATATGCTACAGTTTTATCTATGTATCCTCTAACTGATGTACTGTGGGTACCGTGTGCCAGGGAGACAAAAAGTAAATGGAATATGCTACAGTTCCTTCTCTCAAAAAGCTGATGGCCAGTGATGAGACAAAGCAAAAACAACACAGCCAAAGCTCTGGCTTGGACACCGTGTAGTTGCAAAGAAGGAAAAATTTGTCTGTTTCAGGCTATATAGTGGGATGAGGGAAATGGATGAGAAGAACAATATTGATCAACTCCTGGGGGAGAAGAATTCCTTCAGATGTCAGAAGGGCAGGCTGACTCAATGCATGTGTCTGTCCTGCACTCCATGAATGCATATCACTACCTGTGTGACTGGTGGGAAAATGATAAAAGGTTAGGCTCAGCTGCCTCAAGTCTTCCAGAACTATGCACTTGCATAAAAACACGGTGCTACTTCCTTAATTTATCACATCCCTTTGACTTTGCATCGGTCCTCCCTCATTTCTGAGGTTTTGGGCCCTTTTGGGAATTTGACTAGCTGGCTGGGGCTGGCAAGATGGCTCAGTGGAAAAAGGCACTTACTCCACAAGTCTGACAACCTGTTTGATCCTTCTGACCCATGTGGGAAAACTGAACCCCACACATTGTCCTTTGATCTTGGTACATATGTCATGCATGCATGCACCGATATGCATGTACTCATCCAAACAAATAAAGAATGGGATTTTACAAGCCCACGTGTCCTCACCCTAAAATAACAGCACACACACACACACACACACACACACACACACACACACACACACAGAGAGAGAGAGAGAGAGAGAGAGAGCATTTAGATGTTAGTGTCCAGTGGTTCAGGGTCCTATGGGACCCTTGAGTCTAGAGATAGCAGCCTATGGTATGGGCTATCTCCACTTCTTGGCCTTTTTCCTCTTGTAAAACCATAGCTTTTGCTTAGAGCAGGCATGGAACGCCCTAAGGCCAGTTGTTCATAGGATAGCTAAGTGTTCCTGTGCTGGCACATGCAGTGAAGCCTGTGCTGGGAAGCTTCCAGAACTGGGAATGGACTGTTTTCTGACTCAGCTCTTCTTTCTTCTTAGGTAGCCTGTTTGTTACGTTCTCCCGCACGTGAGCCATAAACAGTGTCCTCTTTGTATTTATGGTCCTGGCTGGCCAGGTGGAATAGGAACACATCCCTTCCTGGCATGGCCTCTCCTAGAATGTCTCATTTCTGAATTCTCCCCCATACCATGTGGCTATCTCTGTTGAATGAATATTTTCCTAGCTGCCATTGCCTGAGAAGAATCGAGGTTTCGCGGAGGGAATGAGCCGGGTGCCCCAGGGTTAAATGAACCTGGGGGTGGGGGGCTGTGCTAGAGTCTCTATTCCAGAACAGTCCATGAAAACACTCCGCACCTGACAAGACCTGAAGGAAAGCTGTGTATTTGTTTTCCCTATGGTTTTCTTGAGAAGCAGGTTTCAGTTAAGACTGTGAGTTTTTAAAGAAGCCAGCCACTCAAAGTTAATTTCCCCTTTTTCTCTCCTCCACAGCCTCTCGATTTTGAAACCGAACCAGTTACCAACATTGTGTTCAAAGCAGAAAACCCTGAACCACTGGTGGCCAACGTATTGTACAATGCTAGCTCTTTTGCCTCATTCAAGCTGTTTGTGACGGATGTGAATGAAGCGCCTGTGTTTCCACAACGCATATTCCAAGCAAAAATCAGAGAAGATGCCGCCATAGGCACTAAAGTGGGCAATGTGACTGCCAGGGACCCGGAAGGCCTGCCTGTGAGGTACAGGACAGTGTGGCTGTGCAGGCCTATTGCATGGTGCAACCACAGCCAGGGGGCTAAGGAGTGCTGGGAGGGCGAAGCGGCATGTACTGACTTTAGGAGAGAGCCATGGAGCAGAAGTCAGAAGCAAGGACTCTGGCCTTGGTTCAAGGTTTCAGACATGTGGCATCGGGGTGCTGTTTTGTCCCCGTGTTGCAGGCCTCAGCTGAGGTCTGGTAAAGTCAGGAGGCGCCCACCCCCAAGACTGGGTTAGCCACAGCCAGGCCCAGGTCTGAACTGTTGGGGTTCTGGGGAAAGTGGACTGGAGTTGTGGAGAGGTAAAAGTCTTATAGGCCAAAGGCACTGTCTGAGATGTAGGGATCTTGGGCTCTCCCTCTGTCCAGAGAGCTAGTGAGGTAGCAACACACTCCTCTCATTCCTACAGGGAATAGTGTTCATGGTGAGATGTTAAACATTGCATAAATATTTCTTCTCAGCCATTCTCAATCTTTGTGTGTGTGTGTGTGTGTGTGTGTGTGTGTGTGTGTGCGTGCCACAGCCCCCACACACATTTGCTTCACTTATATGCAATGATTAGTTTGCTTATAATGTACACATACACACACAAACCTGTGAGCATAGATAGGACCTGAACTCAGATATTCTGCCTGTCTTGTACAATGTTGTCAAGAATGTATATGGCAAACACATACTTCAGCATGACTTAGCTGGTGCAGGTAGTTACAAATGACACGATTTTATGTTTCTCTGCACATTTGAGCGAAATCTTATGTCCCATTGAGCTGTCCTGTAGACACTTAGGTTCAGTTACATGGACTTAACTGTCTTACATGGGGTAACTGTGTTACTGGTTTGCATACTATAACAAAAGGCATAAAGCAGATAACTTTATGTTTTTAAAAAGGGCAGTTTCTTTAGCTTTTGGCTCTAGACATTTATGGGCACAGCACCAGCACAGGCAGGCTGTGAAGGCCTTGTGTGATTATTAGCATGACAGCAACATCAGCAAAGGGAAAGAACAATATTGCAGACAGGACTCTGGAACACACCTGGGTCTCCCAAGCTCCGCAAGGGCTTGTCCCTAATTGACCCAAGGATAGCCCATTTGGCTCTGCCTCTCAAAGGTCCTGTGCGTGACAAATTCACCACCTGAGAATGAAGCTTCTAACATGGGAACTTTTTTTTTGGAGGGGGGGAAACACTCAAATCATCCACATCACACAGAAGAGTAAAGTCACTTAACTATTAGTGAGGGTTTTACTGCATTAGTCAGTGTGGAAACCACGCTATACATCCGAGTCTCATGTCACGGTGGGATCCGAAGTATCTAAATGTCACAATGGGATCTGAAGAATGTAAATGTCATGATGGGATCTCAAGTATTTAAATTCCACGCCCATTATTCTCTAAGAGATGCCTCTGCATCTTTCATGAGAATGCTACAAACATTATTGGTTGTGATTAAAATATAAAATATTAATATAATTACTGGACAGAGGCATGCGTATGTCAGCAGGGAGCAAACAGAAACAAACACTTAAGGAAATCCCTCTGGTGGGGCAGAAACTGGTATGGAACAGAGAGCCACGAAGTTGCAGTCAGAAGATAGGGGCGGGACAAAGGGAGATGGAGAAGGGTTGTTCTATAAAGTCTGTTTCTAGAAGGCAAACAAATGAGGAGTAATCAAGCCATCCCGCAAAAATGCACATGGTGTGCAAGGACTAACTTTGCAGACTCCAAAGCTGTGGACTGAGATGTTTAACTCCATCTGGGTAAACTAGAGACCCACTCCAGCCCAGCCGCAACATCATAGACCCTGCTGCTGACACAGATCCCGAGCCAAGTGTTTGTGACTACTTCCGGTGTGGTCCACAACATTGCTGTTTAGAACCCAGCATTTCCACCAGCCCCTACCTACCCCCTCTGACTCAACGTATGCACTGATGTCCACAAGAGAGGTTAAGACAAAGCAAGCAGATCGTCCAGCTATTCTTCTGATCCTGCCTGGGGGGGGGGGGTCTAACTTCTGTCAGGGGGAGATCCCAACTACCAAGCAGCCCTTGTTTATCACCCACACACAAACATAAATGCAGCACTTGACATATACAACACACTAAAAATAACCTGAGGAAAATTAATTCGACTGAGTATAGTTTTAATCATTCCTATTTCTGGACATGTGGGCTAACAGAATTTTAAAAACCGTAGATAGTCTTTTGAAGCCATGCATGCATGTGGTTCTTTAACTCCTTTTAAACTTCTATTGAGCTGACCTTTCCAGGAGAGGGGCTAAGTGGTGTACCTCTGTCGATGGTTACGATGTGACACTTTACAAAGGGCTAAACTCACTGGTTTTCCTCAGACAAGACTTGTTTCCCTCAAATTAACCTTTCTACATTTACCAATGACGCGCACGGGTCACCTTTCCCCTCAACACAGCTTGATGGCTCCCTCTGGCTCCTATGTCTGGCTCTCTCTGTCTCTGTGGCCTCGTCTTTCCTGTCCACCGCTGCCCACGCATGTCCATGTGCTGTGCACTGCACCAGGACTGTCTTGCTCTCTCTGTTCTGGCCTGCATTATCTTTGAGGCTCCCTTCTTGCCTGTTCCAGCATCTCCTCCAGAAAGGCTTTTCTCGGTCCAATCAGTCTTGTGATTCCAAGCACAGAACTGTATCCACCACACTTTACTGCGATTTTCTGTGTGTCTAAGGCCACTTCCTGTCTGCTGAAGTTGATGTTTCTTCAATGAGGGTTCACTGGGCCACCAGCAGCCCAGGTCTCCAACACTAGCTGCTCATGTTTCCTTAGAGGGGGGGTGTTGTGCTGAAAGGTTTCAGAAGGCAGTGGCCTCAACTCGAAATCTTTGCTTGCTGGAAAAGTATAACTTTTCTGTCAGAGTCTGTCACTCTGCCACACATAATAAAACAATCCCAGAAACGGGCTGTGGAGCAGCGATTCTCAACCTTCCAAGTGCTGTGACCCTTTGATACAGTGCTTTATGGTGTAGTGACCCCCAAACACAAAATTATTTTCATTGCTACTTTATAATTGTAATTTTGCTACTGTTATGAATCACAATGCAAATATCCTTTTCCAATGGTCTTAGGCGGTCCCCGTGAAAGGATACCTTGATCCACCAAGGGGTCACGACCCACAGGTAGAGAACAGCCGCTATAAAGGCAGCTCTTCTTCTGAAGAGAGCTATAAATGAGAAGCTAACCTGGTGGTTCTGCTCCATGGTGCATGCAAATGATAATGGTATATTGTAGTGTAAATGCACAGACTATCTTTCATTTTTGTTCATAGTAACACATTCTCTTCTGCTCTTCCCTTTATGAAGTTACTCACTGAGCGGCGATAAGAGAGGTTGGCTTAAAATCGACTCTGTCACCGGGGAGATATTTAGCGCGGCTCCGCTGGACAGGGAAACAGAAAGTCTGTATCGGGTACAAGTGGTGGCCACTGAAATAGGTGAGCAAAACCAAACCAAACCAAACCAGATTATCATCAATAAATTATCAATAAAACTGAGAGGGAGGGCAAGAGAATTGAAGAGGTTAAAAATCACTGCTGAGTATAACCAAGAAGCCAGGTACAAAAGCGTGTGTGTGTGTGTGTGTGTGTGTGTGTGTGTGCGTGCGTGCGTGCGTGCGTGCGTGCATGCGTGCGTGTGTGTGTGTGTGTGTGTGTGTGTGTGTTCAATCCTTAATGGCTGTATTAGAGAACACTTGTGACATTCTGGGTTTCTACTAGGCCGAGTTTCCCTGAGGCTGGCAGGGTATCAGGGATGCTGCCAGCTCTAACTCTCTACAGGGACCAGAGCCTCTTGTAGGAAAGTTCTAGAGTCCTTAGCTAACCTCCCTCACTACTTTCTCAAAGGGGATTGAGGGCTTCTACCAATTATGCAAAGCCCACTCAGTGCTCATGCTGTTTTGGAGCAGAAGGTACTTTATGCGAGGATGTCCACCACAGAGCTTGTACAGTAGTGACCAGGGAGTCCATCCTTGGGGATTCTCACTCAGCAGGTGTCAGGGTGCTGGGTTTCTCCTGTTTGGATGAGGTGGGACAGAGTTCTGAAAGTGGAGACAATTGCACGGATATGCCCGGATGTTCGAGCCATTCCTGCATAACCCTTGCAACCTATTTAATTCAGTTGTGACACAAGTTGTCTATGGGCTCTGAACATGGGGTTCCAGGAAAAATTTCAGATTAAAATAAAGATAACTGACAGGAATAGTATGCAAACCAGCAATAAGGCTGGTAATTAAAACACTGAGTATCTTTAAATGGAATTTTTCATCTCGTGGTAGGAATTCTGTTGATCTTATGCTGATTAAGAACTCTAATTAGCTAGTAATATGTCTGCATAGCTTATAAAAACGATGAGTGGAACAAATGACTACCAAACAAATACAGTTTTAGACCCCAAAATAATAAACTTTAAAAGCACAAAGCCCCAAATTAGAGGCGGGCACAGAGAGCAGAGAAAGGAATCATAAAAATGTATGGGAAAAGACGGAGAAAACCAAAATGACTATAGGCATGCTGAACTCCAGCAGGCAGACACGGACTGCAGGCTGTTGTTGGGAGGGAAGTGGGGTGGGGTGGACAGGCCTTGCTGAGACAGGCAGCTGTCTTTGTCGCCTGCTGTTCTTTCCACTATCCCGTTGTGTATGTTCAACTGGTGATTTAAAAGCTCCCAGTAAGTCTGCAGGAGGTTTCTGGCTAAACCGTGATGCCATGTCCTCCCCTTGAACCCACGAGGATCAACACTTCACTTTGCACAAGTTTCCTAAGTGGCTCTCACATTTTAGAATTTTCAAGGATTGTGACCATGAGCCAAACCCTGTTCCATTTTCAGTTGTTGGCACTGTAATCATAACGTAAATAGACCAAACGACTTCAAGGACACCAGTGGACTTGTCTCTGGTTAAAGAACAGTCAGACAGTTCTCTGAAGAAACAAGGCTTCCTGGAATCAAAGCTGGGTCCCGAAAACAGCTGAGGGGAAGGGAAGTAGAGTCCAGCCATCGATGTGAGGACAGCCAGGGTCTGCTGTACCACAGGATGCCTCCGTGTGCTCCTGTTCCTGACCATGCTTTGTGCGTTAATGCACCAAGGCACCAAGTAGTTGATTTGCCCAAGTGTGCACGGCTACCAATGGGTCAGACAGCAGAGGCCATGGTTTTCACTACTATAGTGTAACAGATGACATGTGTGCAACCGTTTGCTGCTTTTGTTTATGTGTGAGAGCTTCACAAAGCCACATGCGTTTCAGCTGAAAAAAAAGTGACGATTAGGAAGCTGACTTAGGATGCCTAAGGCAGCAGTAAGTGATGGAAGTAGTAGCCTCCTGGACTAATGACCTCTCCAGTGTACACTAGCTGTGTGAGCTTAGCTAAGTTACACAGAAAGAGTGTCCTCTCTCTCTCTCTCTCTCTCTCTCTCTCTCTCTCTCTCTCTCACACACACACACACACTTGTGTTAGTATTACCACTTAAACATTTAACACATGTTCATTGTATTTTAATTGTGTGTGTGTGTGTGTGTGTGTGTGTGTGTGTATGTGTGTGTAAATGTCAAAGATGAATCTGAGGGAGTTAGTTCTTCCTCCACGAGACGTTCAGGGATTAAACACGAGTCGCCACCAGGCTTGGCAGGAAGTGCCTTTACCCACTGAGTCATCTCGTAGGCTCCATTTAAGCATTTTAACCAGTACTAAAATTAGGCCTGTAATTCTAAAGAGCTTCCTTCTACCACTTTAATAGACCTGGCTATTTAAGTATTGGTTTTTTTTAAAGGAATGAGAAACATGTTTCTGTATGAAGAATGATGATGATGTTTGGAATTATGTTCTAACCTTTCAATTTCTCAGGTGGGTCCTCTTTGAGCACCACGGTAGAGTTCCACCTGGCCCTCACAGATGTGAATGACAATCCCCCACGCCTAGCCAAGGAGTACACAGGCCTGTTCTTTTGCCATCCCCTCAGTACCACCCAGAGTCTCATCTTTGAGGCCACTGACGATGACCAGCAGTCATCTTGGAGGCCACAGTTCACATTTGCCCTTGGCAGAGAAAGCTTACAAAATGACTGGGAAGTTTCCAAAATCAATGGTGAGTTCTCAAGTACATAAGGAGAAAAATCAATGATGGATTTACAACTCAACACAGAATAATTTTCTTCTTGATCCAAGAAGGCAGCCCATGCCCGAGATACACACAGGGCAAGTCTTCAAAGGCCCAGGCTTTGTGGGAAGGGAAGCTTGACACCATGCACATCCTGATTGGTGGATGTGCTTAGGTGAACAACTTGAACATCAGTTGTAAATTGCCAGTGATGCCTGAGAAACAGATTTTATAATATATGTTATCAAAACACAATTACCATACAGCAAATTACATTTGATCAATATGTACAACTTTACAAGAATATATATATATATATATATATATATATATATATATATGTATACATATATACATATACACACATATATAATTATATGTGTAAGATCAGCACAATCAAGTGAATATTTTGCCACTCTCAACTTTTTATCTTACCTTATTTTGTTTATTACCCCTGCTCACCCCACTAAGCCCACTCCATTTTCTCAGCCAGCAACCAGTCTTTCTGTTGCTACAAGTCTGTGTTTATTTTTGTAACTTCACATTTTCTTCCACTCAGTATGATTATTCAGGGATGCATTCTTGTTTTGGGTTCTAGAATTCCATTTCAATATTGTGCAGTGTAATAAGACAATTGAGTGCCCATTCTCTCGAAGACTGGTAGCTTTTGGGTGCGTGTGAGGCCAAGTGTTCAGTAGGAGCATACTCTTCCATGTTTCTTAGTTGAACACCAGTGAGTTGAATGACCATATCACATGGTAGATTAAGCTTTGCTACTTGAGAAAAGGTCGAACTATTTCCCAATTTGTCGGTAGCATTCTACATCCTCACCCTTGTATGAGCTCAGCTGCTCAGACCTACCAACACACATCTGTCCTGTCTTTTTTCATTACAATGCTTTTAAAAATCAGTTTTTGATACCAGTAGCTGCTAATCTAAAAGAGTAAGTTAGGAGGCACCCCACCTATTCAATCTGGAAACCTGTGTATGTGAAACTGGCATCATTTCTTCCTTAAGATTTGGGGGAATTTATTTGCCAATGAATACATTTGGCAATAGAAAGCTGTTTTTGGTGGAAAATTTAACTGTATACTTCATTTCTTTGTTAAATAAGTCTTTTCAAGTTCATATTTCTTCTTGGTTGAGGTTAGTCTGTAGTTTCAAATATTTGCCTAGTTTATTTTGTTTGTCTAATTTATTAACATTCTGTCCCCAGTGTCTAAAGATATATAGCTATACCAGTTCATTCTGAGATTGGCAAGTTTTTTCATGTTTTCTCTAATTAAGTGGGGGACAAGTTTATTTATTTTGTTCATAGCTTCACAGAACTAGCTTTTGGATATGAGTTTGCTCTGTGTTTTTGTATGTCCTTGCCTGGGTCTTACTTTCCTTATTCCTCTGCTGTGCTTTCCTTGTTCTTATTTTATACTTACTAGGCGGAGTCTATGGCAGCTAATTTGGGATATTCTTTGTTTGTTAAGATAGGTGTGTAGTGCCACAAACTACCTCAGGGTCGCTCTACCTGCATTTCACAGCTTCAGTAGTTTACAAAACTACACAATTACCTTTTGTGCGCTATGGGTTGCTTAGAAATGTCTAAAAATATTTTGCAAATATACGTCGATTTTTTTTTCCTGTTTTCTTTGTGTGCTTTATACTCTGGGTAGTTTCTACTTCAATGCCTTTGGGCTACTGATTTTTTCTGTCATATTCTATTTTCCACTTATTTCACCAAGTATATTTTTTCACATCAAAACATTTTAGCTGTCAGAACTTCAGTGTCTGGCTTCTTGAACAGATGACTATTTTCTTGTCCTTATCCGCTCTCACATATGTACTTGGTTAGTTTTTCTTATTATTCTATTTTCTAGCATGTTGACAAATATTGAGTCTTACTCTGAACTGCGAAGTCTGGTTAGCAATTTGAAAATTCAGTGCTGGCCCTGCCTGAGCTGAACTGAGCCCCGAGGAGCTCAAGTAGATATCCTCATGAGCTACAATGTTTTTGACTTTGGTTTGGGAGCAGGGACCCACCCTGAATGCAAATGACTGTTCCATTGTTCTTTTTCCCCTTTCATTAATTCTGTGTAATTGAAGCGGCAATATAAAGTCAAGCTCAGTTCCTCTTCCCTGCAGAGAAACTAAAGAGCTAACAGCAAGCTGGAGGCAGTTGTAGGACTAATGCCATTTATCTTCTTTCGCATCCAGTGTCTTCCTATATTTATCTGCTATTTTCATCTACTAGCTAAAGCTTGTAAACAAAAAGTCAACGCTTAATGAAGCTTTAACGCTGACATCCACTGTCACAACAATGAAAAATTTGAGTTACTAGATAAATAAGTACCCAGCCACAGCTGAGACAAGCGACACTGTCCTTTTGCTTCAACTTAAGGAGTGTTCTTTCTATAGTCTACTTTGGGGCTTAGGTTTGCCCGTTTGTGCTTTCCATTGAAGATTTTTTTCTCTTCAGTAGACAGCACTTTCTCCTCCTTTGGAGCCATTCTAGTGTTCCTAAATGGAAAGAAGTTGTGATGTGTCTGGATGCATTTTATGCGGACATAAGTTATAGTTCAACTGGCCAGGAATTCAAAGTCAATGTCTTAATACATGTGAACAAGGTAGCTTTTAACAGAATCATGCAAGAAACAAGTTTACTCATTTATCACTTGATTAAAACATTGTGATTAAAGGTCACAGAAACTTAAACCCTGCATTTCTCTAAGGAACAATAGTTCAGTATTTATTAATTTAGCATTTGGGACAGATTTATAGAATGGCTGTTCTACCAAGAAACTGTGAGTTCAAAACTGAAAGGATAGTTTTATTTTTTGAAATGAGTTCTTTGAGAATTTTGTACAATGTATTTTGATTGTATAATTAAGTGCTAAGTCCATTTAAATCGCTCCCCTAGAACTCATGACATGTCTAGCCACAGGTTCTTGGACCCAGGATCCAATAGCAGTGCTAGGTATGGGTTTCATCTTATGAAATGGCCTTAAATACGATCAGAACATGGTTGAATACTCCCCTGGCAACCATGCCATTATTGTATCAGTGAGCATGTCTTGCCAGGTTGGTTGTTATTGTAGCACATAGGGTTCACAAATGGGTAATACTTATCAGTATTATTTTTCTCCTCTGGAATTGTGCATAGTGCCTTCTATTTATTAAAGCTATCCAGTAGGTATTAAAATTCCAGATGAATACTAGATCGATTTCTTCATGTTCTATGATTTAAGTATGTGCTTTATCCAACAATAGGATCCCACTACTAAGTTCTGGGTAATAACCAAGTGTATTGGCAATAGCCTGTAATGTTTGGTAATCTATAAGACATTACTGTTCAGCAACTTCAACAGTGATAACACATCCCTGGTACTTGGAATTTTATTTGTTAGCCTGTAATGTTTAGCATGTTATGTGTTATAACCATTTAAAATCTCTTATGTATTTATGTATACATAAGACATTTTTATAAGAGTAGGTTTCTATATGACTTACAAAATAACTCAACCAACAAGTTATTCCAAAATTCACAAATACCAACACAGAAGCAAAATTAGCATGGAAAAATAATCTATTTCCAAAAATACAAGTTTCATAGTAATGGCTCCTAATGAAAATGATGTAGAAGGATATCCAGACAGAGAATTACAAATAAGGACTATAATTATGTTCAAACAACTCAAAGACAAAGAGCTGAATGAAACAAGGAAATCTAAGAATGAATATAGAGTTTGAATCCTGAAGAAAATCCAGCTGAATGAAAATAAAAATCTCAGTGGAAGGCCTCACTAAGAGATGGATCATGCAAAAAAATAGAGTCAGAGATAGAAGAGAAAGTAGAGGAGTTAGAAAGAAAGGTTGATGAGAAATTTTTTTTAATGGATAGAGCATGGGAGAGTTTTGGGATAATATAAAATGAACTAAACTTTGAATTCCGGACATAGAACAAGGAGAATACTACAACAAAGCCATAGAGACCATCTTCAGTAAAACAATAGAAGAAAATTCCCAAGCCTAGAGAAAGAAATGTCCATCCAGGTATAAGAGGACTGCAGAACACCAAACATATTGAACTAAAAAGAATCTTTCCAACACATTATAGTTAAAACATGAAAAACACAGAGTAAATAAAAGGTATGGAGAGTTTCAAGAGAGAAAGGCAAAGTCATTTATAATGGCAGACCCCATACATAGTTGAAGTCCTGAGAGACAGCAACTCTCAACTGGCACTACTGTGCCCAGACACACTGCCCACTGAAATTGAAGGAGAAACAAACTTTCCATGATAAAACAAATGAAAAGAATTTATGACTACCCAGCCAGCTCTACGGAAAATACCAGAAGGAGTACTTCAATTTGAGGAGAAGGATAAACACAACTTTTCACAAGGAATAAATAGATAATACACAGACACATAATCAAAAGAGATCTGAAAAACAAACAAACAAAAAACCCCAGAAGATTAACAAGATGATAGGAATTAACATATAACATTCAACAATAATCATGATTATTAGCCATCTCAATTTTTCAATAAAAATGGAGTTCCATCTTTTTGATGCTTCTAAGAGACAAGCCTCATCATCAATAATAGGTAACGATCTCAGGATAGAATGATGGGAAAAATATTCCAAGTAAATGGAACTAAAAAACAAACAGGTGTAGCAATTCTTTTTTTGTTTGTTTTTGTTTTTTGAGACAGGGTTCATCTGCATAGCTCTGGAGCCTGTCCTGGAACTTACTCTGTAGACCAGTCTGACCTCGAACTCACAGAGATCTGCTTGCCTCTGCCTCCCGAGTGCTGGGGTTGAAGGTGTGTGCCACCATTGCTGGGCAGGTGTAGCTTTCTAATATCTGGCAGAATGACTTCAAACCAATAGTAGTCAGTTGAGGTAGAGAAGTGCAATTCATGCTCATTAAAGGAAAAATCCACCAAGAAGATGTTGCAGTTCTAAATATCTATATACCAAACACAGGGACACCCGATTTCATAAAAGACACACTACTAGATGTTAAAACCACAAATTGATCCCAACACAGTGAAAGGAAAATTCAATGCCAGTCACTTTAACAGACAGGTCATACAGAAAACTGCTAGAGTTAGAAGTCATCAAAATACAGTACACCCAACAGAGAATGTTCTTACTAAATTAAAGGATGCACATTCTTCTCTGCAGCCCACAGAACTTTCTACAAAATTGGTCACATATTGGGGCATAAACAAGTCTTAACACAGGAATAATTCAAATCACACCCTGCATTCTATCTGACTACAAAAGATAAAGCTGATTATAGAGAAAGTACATTAAATTCATAGAAACTAAACACACTACAGAATGGTAATGAGTGAAGAAAGAAATCAAGAAAAAAATAAACCCCAGAAACTTCTATAATGAAAAATGAAAAAGAAAACACACCCATACCAAAATCTGTGTGGCACAATTTGAAAGGCAGTTCTAGAAGGAAAGTTTACAATAATAAGTGACTTTGCCAAAAAATTTTTAAAAATGAGATTGATATACCTTGGAAAAGAACAACCATCACTCCCCAAAAGTAGATAAGAAGACTGGATAAAGAGATGACAGCAATAACCAACACCCCTCCTCCCAAAATAAGGAAGATGGAAAAGAGAGATGACTCAGCAGGAATCAACACTCCCCAAAATAGATAAGACAATGAGATAAAGAGATGACTCAGCAATAACCAACACCCCTCCTCCCAAAATAAAGAGGATGGAATAGAGAGATGACTCAGCAATAACCAACACCCCTCCTCCCAAAATAAAGAGGATGGAATAGAGAGATGACTCAGCAATAACCAATACCCCTCCTCCCAAAATAAAGAGGATGGAATAGAGAGATGACTCAGCAATAACCAACACCCCTCCTCCAAAAATAAGGAAGATGGAATAGAGAGATGACTCAGCAATAACCAACACCCCTCCTCCCATAATAAAGAGGATGGAATAGAGAGATGACTCAGCAATAACCAATACCCCTCCTCCCAAAATAAAGAGGATGGAATAGAGAGATGACTCAGCAATAACCAACACCCCTCCTCCAAAAATAAGGAAGATGGAATAGAGAGATGACTCAGCAATAACCAACACCCCTCCTCCCAAAATAAAGAGGATGGAACAGAGAGATGACTCAGCAATAACCAACACCCCTCCTCCAAAAATAAGGAAGATGGAATAGAGAGATGACTCAGCAATAATCAACACCCCAAAAGTAGATAAGACAATGGGATAGGGATGACCCAGCAGTCCAGAGTGCTGGTTGCTCCTTTGGAGCCCTGAGTTTTGACTCCATCACTGACATGGCAGCTCACAGCATCCTGTCACTCCAGTCTCAGGAGATTTCCTCTTCTGACCTCTGTGTTCACTGAATGAATATGGTGCACAGACATAAATGCAGGCAAAACACCCATACAAAAACAATAAAGAATGAAAAAAGATGGGCAATGAGAATCAAAATCAGGGCTGAAATCCATGAAAGAAATAAGACTGACCTTTTACCAAAATACCCAAAATCATAGAATTCGACATGGAAAGGAAACATTACAATAGACACTAAAGAACTTCAGAGAATCTCAAGGACATACTTAGAAGAAAATCCCTTCTACCAAACTGGAATCTAAAAGGAACTGATGAATTTATGGCTGGCTGGCCTACCAAAGCAAATCAAGGTAAAATGAATAAGTTGACCCCGACATCAAATGAGACAGAAGCACTAAATAAAAATTTCTCAACAACAACAAAAAGTGCCCAGGGCCAGATGGATGGAGTCAGCACAGAATTCTATAAGACCTTTGTAGAACTAACAGCAATTAGATTAGTCCATAAAATTTTTTAAAAATGGAAAATTATATTTTCTATGAAGCCAATTTTATCCCTATGAAAAAGCCATTCAAAGACCCTCTCTCTCCATACATACATACATACATACATACATACATACATACATGTATACATACATACACACACACTTGGAAACCAAACTCAAGAACATGGAGAGCACATTGGTCAAGTCTGCTTCATTGCAGAGATTTAGGGATGGTTTCACATATGTAAATCAATAAGCATCATATAAATAGACTCAAGGACAGAAACCAATAATCATCTCATTAGATATAGAAAAGGCCATTGACAAAAATCTAGCATTTCTTTATGATAAAAGGTGTGGAGAATTTACACAGTATAACATACAGGGAATTCACTATAACAAAGGCAATATACAGCAAGCCCACAGCCAACATCATGTTAAATGGAGAAAATCTTGAAGCATTTCCACTAAAATCAGGAACAAGACAGGGATGTCTCATGCTCTTCCAACTCCTATTCAATCATAGTTCTTGTAAAGTTCTTGTGAAGAGATACAGTGATAATAATGGGCAAGGGAGAAGTTAGGGATGTTTTGGTTTATTGTTAAGGTAAGTGACATGGAAAAGTATGTTTAGTTATGCAAAGTATCATCTATGTCAGACTACTTCCCAGTCTATCTGATTACATGCGATGCAAAAATGAGCTTCATTTCTGCCGGGCAAGGGTTCTGAGTTCTTTTTCTCTCTGTCCTGACAGGCACACATGCTAGACTCTCCACCAAGCACACACGCTTTGAGGAACGAGTTTACGAAATCCCAATCCTCCTCAGTGATGCGGGGCAGCCACCCATGGAAGGCACTGTTTTCTTACCAGGTAGGCACTTTGCATAGGCAACATGGAAATTCTGTTACCGGGGGCAGGTTAAGGAGCGCTTGTCTTTAAAATGGGATTCAGCAACTAGTCACTTGAAAACTTGCCCTACCAAATACTGTTCTGCTTTTTAGTTACTTTCTGCCAGTGTGTGGAAGGAAGCTGTTTCCGGCCAGCAGGCAGCCATGATGGGATACCCACGGTAGGCATGGCAGTGGGTATACTTCTGACCACCTTTCTGGTCATTGGTGAGTATGACTTCTTGGAGCCAAGGATTCTTGTCCCTGGCTTGAATGTGAGCTCATCATATCATCTTACTTAGTGGTTTCCTAGCTTGGGTAACTAACTGAGGATATGTCCCCAGTCAGTCACGTCCAAGTGTCCTGGTTGGGAGATACTATGTTGGAAGCAGCCCTCCTCCACCTGCCCTTTCTGTCCTTAGATTTTCATGCTGACATTTATACCATAGGACTCTTTGTATTAATCAGTATTTTTTTTATGTATTTAAGTAGCAAATACATGAGATAACCAACTTTTAAAAAAATGTTCCCTTTTGGCTCATGGTTTCAGAGGTTTGAATTCATAACTGACTGGCCTGATAGTTCAGGGTCCATGCCAAGGCAGCTCTTTATTGAGCAAAGCTTCCACCTCCCAGTGGGAATAGATGAGAGAAGGGGCTAGGGTCTTACCGTGCCTTTGGGGGTATGTCTTCAAGAGGACTAGGGGGAAGTCTCCTGATCTTTAAAGTTCTTACCATCTGCTGGTGATGCTGAATTGGGGACCTTTGGAGTGCAGTCAAGACGGAAGCCGTATGAAGCTCTACACACAGATTGGTGTATTTTGAGCCTACTTACCATGCTTTTCTGAAGGAGAAAAACTTGCAGTCTATGCTCTGGTGTGTCAGGCATTGGGCTTATTGGGTTGGTATTGTGATGGCAAGGCCCACATGATCCTTTACTCGAGAGGTCACGGGCTCTACTGCCCATGTTGGAATAGGTAAGAGGGGAATAGGTAGGAACAGGTTGGAATAGGAATAGATGCTGTGACATCTGAAATATTGCAGAGTTTGCTTTGAGTTTTTTTTTTATACAGCTCTGGACGCTGGCTCTTCATAATCCAGAGTAACTCCATTGCATCATAGCCTTGACTCCCTCCCTAGCTGGAAAGCAGCTCTCTCTTGTAGCGCCTTATCTCTCACAATAGTCATGCTCTCTCCATAGCTGTCCTCACAGTGGTTAACTAGAGGAATATTTTAATATTCATGTGCACACGACTGAATGGCTTACCACAGTCTCACATTGTTTCCCGGAATAATCCCCATCTCCTCCTTTCTTTGAAGTCTTAACTACTCCCTTTATGCCTAGACATTTGTTCTCGTGTCCCAAGCGGTCACACTGGACTTTAACACAGTCCTGTCTTTTCCTCATCCTCTTCAGTGCAAACTCTCACATGGGTAACGTGGAAGGGCCTGGGCAGCCTGGCTGCTACTCACTTTACCATGCATGGTGACCAGGTGGCCTCCTTGAAAGCCACCATCTGCCGTTCACACATCATACCAATAGGGATGAAGTTCCTTCCTTTTGAGAAAGGGACTCTCTTTGCAGCTAATTCTGGCCTTGAACTCGGACAATCTCTCTGCCTCAGCCTCACAGCTAGGTATGTGAGATATTATTTACTAAACTCCTTCTGCTTTTATTCTTTGCATTGTTTTTCTTACCTACCTTGGAAGGATTGAGTTTATGCACCAAATTTCAGTTTTCTCACATAGTCTTATTTCTGTGACCCTAAGTTAAAGTTTTGAGAACATGTAGAAATAGAATTAACAGGGCCTTTCTCATTTCATACCTTTATTCTTCTCAAATGGGGGCGTGTGAGTTATTACAAGATGGTTAACATCTAGTCTTCTCCACCATGGTGCCTCCTGTAATTACTGATGAGCAGTTTCTTTAAGGTAACTCTCCTTGTCCTAGCGGGCTCTGATAATTCAGATGTGTGTCAAAAGCCACAGTGTGATCTTGTAACAGTTCAGAGAGGTGGGAGAAATCAGAAAGGGTAGGCAGTCTACTCAAGGTCCCCCGGGATGACTAGCCCTGTTAGGAAGGTACCCATGGTGTGTACTGCCAAGTGTCTACCACTAGGTTGCATGCCAAGCTCTTAACAGTGAAATGAAAACTGTTTTTGAATCCCAAAATGATGCATGTTTGATGGGTACAATGGAAGCAGGCTCCAGTGGGTGGATATGTCTGACAGCTCCCTGCTTCTGATTTAACTCCTTTCTCCTAACTCTTTTTGGTACATGCAAAGTTCAAACATTCTTCTGCATGATTTTCTCCCAGAGGAGTTAGGACATCGGCTCCTCTATTCCCCAGTAGAGATCCTGCCAGAGTCCAGATGAGTTATACCTTGGGGGCTTCCTACACACTGATAGCAAAGTAATTTGGCTACTCACACAAGAGAGCCAAAGCCCAGAGTTCTGTACTCATTTGTTAGGGTTAGGGTTAGGGTTAGGGTTAGGGTTAGGGTTAGGGTTAGGGTTAGGGTTAGGGTTAGGGTTAGGGTTAGGGTTAGGGTTAGGGTTAGGGTTAGGGTTAGGGTTAGGGTTAGGGTTAGTGTTTCAGGGTTAGGGTTAGGGTTAGGGTTAGGGTTAGGGTTAGGGTTAGGGTTAGTGTTTAGGGTTAGGGTTAGGGTTAGGGTTAGGGTTAGGGTTAGGGTTAGGGTTAGGGTTAGTGTTAGGGTTAGGGTTAGGGTTAGGGTTAGGGTTAGGGTTAGGGTCAGGGTCAGGGTCAGGGTCAGGGTCAGGGTCAGGGTCAGGGTCAGGGTCAGGGTCAGGGTCAGGGTCAGGGTCAGGGTCAGGGTCAGGGTCAGGGTCAGGGTCAGGGTCAGGGTCAGGGTCAGGGTTAGGGTTAGGGTTAGGGTTAGACACCATCAAACCCCACTAGTGGACATTCGTTCACAAGTCATTCTCTACTCCTGCCCCTAAGACACTGTGGCAGTGTTAGTACATCTAAACTGTACTTGTTTGACCCTGAGTTTTCTCTTTGCAGGTATAATTTTAGCAGTTGTATTCATCCGAATAAAGAAAGATGAAGGAAAAAATAATGTTGAAAATCCCCAGTCCCCTGAAACTAGACCTCTGAGAAGCTGAATTTGAAAAGAAACGGTCAAGTTTATGCATCAAGTGCTTCATCAGTACCTTGGCTGTCTAATTTTATCCAAAATGTGAACTGTAATTGGTGGAGTGTATGCATCACGCACTATATCAAGGCCCCGGCTGTTCAATCTCACAATTTTATCCAAAATGTGAACTCTAATTTCTTTGATAGCATGCCACTCTTGTCTTGTAATATTTTATACTACTGCGATATTTTATGTGCTGTAGACTTTAGACTCAGTTTCCATCTTCCCATGGCATTTCCTCTTCCACAAAAGCCCCTTAGCTACATAATCTAAACTTTCTGCTCTGGGACAGATGAACTGATTATGCTTCCTGTACGCTGTTGCTTTAGAGACCACCAGTTACCCATCACCAGACTTCCCAGATTCCATGTCTTCTTTTTCGATTCCACCGTGTCCCTTCATCTTTTGGTGTTACACTGAATGTAGAATATGTCACACAAGAGAACAAAGTGACGTCCCAGGAAAAAGAAAAGTGGGCAGATTTGTTCCTTAGCATGAAAGGCTTTTCTGTGTTATTAACCATCCTTAATGGAGGTTTTCCAACTTGGCAATGGCACAGACCCTGGGGATGTATCAAACACAGTTGCTCTGTTTCCAGAGAGATTGACTCCATAAACTTGGGCACAGGAACTGACGAGCTGTCTAGGTTTACTCACTATTACATGCTTACATACATGCTGCATTTGTTTTATTTGTATATTTGAAGTTTTGTTATATATTTATCATGTGGAGGAAACAAGAATGCATGGAAGTGGTGAGGAATGTCAGAAATAAATGTTGGTTTCATTTGTTTTTATTTCCCTGATGTGCCTGTTTCATTTAGTGTGTGTGTGTGTGTGTGTGTGTGTGTGTGTGTGTATGCATGTGTGCATGTGCTTGTCTGTGTGTGCATGCGTGGTGGATGGGTGCGTGTGTGTGTGCGTGCGTGCGTGCGTGCGTGCGTGTGTGTGTGTGTGTGTGTGTGTGTGTGTGTAGGCAGGCAGATAGGTCCAGAAAGCAATGGTTGTTGCTTTTCAAAAGTTCTGCCATATGGAGTAACTTTAAGAGGAAGGGTATACAAACTTACATCACTGTGCATGTCTGAGCTTCCCACAGACGAACTTGGGACTCGGGGAAGGCACAGGCACTGCAGCTGAGAAGTCATCCCTCCCGCTAAGAGATCCTTCATCCAAAAGCGTCTGCGATCACGCTGCTGTCCCCAAACCCGTGGACCCCATGCTGCAGAAGACGAACTGGCCTCGCCCGTTCCCGCTATTCCCTGGTAGGTCAGAGTCAAGCGACCCAGAGGCCAAGTCTCTCTCCCTCAGAAGAGACTCTCAAACATGATACTTTCACATGTTCTTGGAGAAGTGGCCATTTAATACAATGTTTTAAAATGATAGTTTTGTAATACGATTACTTCCTATTATTGATTTACCCATGTTTGGATTTTCTCACCCAGCCTGGCATAGCTCCATTTAACATTTCTGAATGACTGTGTCAGTCATTTGTAGGCTACCTGGGCTTGTAAGGCCAGGAGGACAGCTTTCTGAAGTGATTTTGGGGAGTAAGGACTAAGTCACGAGGGCTAAAAGTTCAGGTTTCCATGTGTTACCTGTCCTGAAAGTCACTGGTTTCTTTGGAGAGAAACGAAAGGCCCCCTTTCCTGAGGGTTCCTCACTCTGAGAGTGCCAGCTGAGGGGATGGAGGGGCAGGAAAGTCACAGGAAGGTAGGCTCCTGGAGCCAGCACTCATCTGACTGATGCAGGGGAACATTTCCACGTTTGTCATCGCAACAGCTGGGCTCACGTGGGTGGCTAGCATCCGAGGCTCCATTTGGAAAAGAAGGGGCTGTATATGGGTGGGACCAACAATAGCACATGTGTTTACCCTGCATTGGTAGTTACTCTTAAATTAAGTCCAAGGCTGAGAGGAAACATTGGTATTTTTGGTAGCACAAAACAACACTGCCTCTCTGGCACTTGGCCAAGAGTGGGTCCCAGGGGCAGAATTTCCTGGGGCTTCTGCTCATCACAGCCAAGGGTGCTCATTGTCTTGGTTTATGGGGGACACTGGGAATCAGGGAAGATTGTTTGAGTAGCTAGGTCAGGATGGGAAAGCCCTGGCTAATGTTCTCCCTCCTGTGAGGTCTCCGATGGCTTCATGTAGCATACAGGAAGGGAGGAGGGACTTGCCTGTAAACAAATGCACCTAGTTCTAGTGTAGTTTTTCTTTACCATTGGCTCCCAAAACTTTCACAGTATTTAAGTTCTTCATGGCTGTCTATCCCTCTCCTCAGGCTAGCTTCTTTGACAGGGCCAGCCACAACCATGCAAGAAACTTTGAAATTGTTATTTGGGCTCCAGAAGACACCAGTATGTTCTAAGAGGTTCTCTAATAGGCCAGTCTGGACCTTCAAGCAGCAGAGGCTCTAAAGAACAAGAACCTATAGAGAAAGGGCCAGTGAAGATGCATAGGTCTTTAGGAGTAGGCGGGAAGAAGGGTCATCAGAAGTCTCAGGCCATCGCATAGCTCTAAGACTGAACAAGGCAGATGTAGAGTCCGGCTATTAAATGGTCTATTGTGGGACCACTGCTGGGAAGGAATCACTCAGCTCCAGGATGACCACGTTTTGCTGGGAGTATAAAGCACTGGTCCCAAAGTTATAGCAGCAGGAGACCACTAACCTGCCAGCAAGGTCTGTCTGTCTGTCTGTCTGCCCTCCTCCATCCCTTGCTGTTATTTTCCTTGTTTATTTGTGTGTGTGTGTGTGTGTGTGTGTGTGGTGTGTGTGTTGTGCATCTGTCTACTGTAAAGGCCAGAGGTTGACATCAAATGTCCTTCTCAATCACTCTTCATCTTATTTGATACTGGGTCTCTGACTAGCTTGAAGTCATGAATTGAACACTAATACTCAGAGAAACCCCCAAGAACGTATCCTTCTTAGAGCTATTTTGTAGGTAAGGAATTCGTGACTGAAGGAAGGGTTAAGTGATTTCCCCATAGCACACACGCTTGAGGCCAGAATAAAGATCAGGCAGTTTGGCTCAGGTTTCAGACCTGACCCACACACTGGCGTGCCTTTCAGAAGGGAGTCAATGACAAGTCCCACCCATCCCACCCATCCGTGCCTCCTCCCTGTTGGCCACCCATCTTCATCTCCATCCCCTCTGTCCATGTGCTGCTTCATTGAAGCCACGCCCTTTCTGCTTCTATTCAGCAGTCTCTGCCTGGAATACTCTTGCTCCTTCCAATCCCTCATGTGGTTGTTTATGTTTCCGATCTCAGTGTAAAGTCCTTCCCAGGGACATTCTTCCTGTCTCTTTCCAGGATAGCACACTGTGAATTTCTTTCCTGTGGCATTCCACAGCGTGTAATTACATCTTATATTAGTTTGCATCTTTGGGTCAGGGGTTGCTGACTGTTATCTCTCAGTGGGAAGTATGGTGCCTGCCATATACAAGGAACTCAGTTGTGAATTAACAGCCAGCTTAGTTAATTTGATTGTAGGGCTGGAGAGATGGCTCAGTCTGTAATGTGTTTGCCTTCTAGCATGAGGACCTGGTTTAATCCACTGAACTCATAAAAACATGGGCATGGTTGTGTGATGATAATCCCACCACTGCGGAGGGACAGCAGCTCAGCCTAACTGGTGAAGTCCAGGTTACTGGGAGACCCTGCCTCAAACGCAAGATGGTATTTGAGCAACAACAGGTGACATGTGGCCCCACAATGCATCTGAACACACATGAACGCAAACACAAAGACTCTAATCATGGGCTCAAGATGTACATACGACACAGGGAACAATTCACTGGACACTTAAAGAACTTGTGTGTGCTAAGCTACAAGGATGCCTTACACCTGTAAACACAGTGGGCAAATCCAGAATTAGGGGTGGCCAGAGAGGAATCGCCCCTGGTTGGGGCAGGGAGAACATCCCATGAGGGGATAAGGGCAGTTTTCTGTTCCCTGTGGGTTTGAGGCTCCTTCTTTATTTGGATCCATCCTGACTCCCATGATCACCTGAGACCTCCTTTCCTTGATTGGAACATGAAGCTAAGACCTTAGTGACATATTTGGCTCTTTCCAGTGTAGTTTCGGGGACTCCCTTGAGACGGCACAGAATTGAGCTCGTTTGGGATCCTTGTCATAATAAGGGGAATGTTCTGCAAACACGATTATGAATGTTCTCCTTACTCATGTCACATGACAAAGAAAGTTCCTGTGTCCAGAAAAGACTCCCATGTGGCTGTATTTTGGACTTTATTCAAGTTGTTAGAAATACCGATAGACCTCACCAATTACAGTCTGTTCTGCTAGTCCTTTTTTAAAAATTCCATTTTTAACACAGAAATGTGCTTCTGATGCTTTGGATTTCCCACATCATAGAATTTGAAGGTAAGAAAACATCAAGATTTGTTATCTGTGGTGTCCTGGTTGGTGCTCAGTAGATCGTCATTTTCTTTAGTTGTCTGGAGGGATGCCTCTTCATAGTTTTCTTTAGTTATCTGGAGGGATGCCTCTTCATAGCCCTTCAGGTCTTTATGTAGTGAGATAGTCCTTCTGTGGCACTGACCACACCCATTGGGGGGTGGAGCCATGGGCGGAAGTGACCTGTGGAAGGAGGTCGGAGGGGGCCAGGGAAGGCGCTCTCTTTTCTGGCGTGACTCGGACAGGAGAGGATCGGGTTGAATTTCCTGGTGTTCATCTGTCTAGGTTGTAAGTTATTTCTCCCTGAATAAACATCTATTCGGCCTATTTGTTTATCCTGATCCTTATTTACCGCAATATCTTTATGTCACTATTTATTTGTTCACTTGCTCACCTCCCCTGCCTCACCCCATCAAATGCACATTCTGAGCTGTTGAGGGTAGGAGGTCATGTTTCATTATCTTTGTGAGTTTTCCATGGCAGGGTTTCATTGTATAGACTCGGCTGTCCTGGAACTCGATTCTGTATACCAGGCTGGCCTTGAATTAACACATATCTGCCTGCTTCTGCCTCCTGAGTGCTGGGATTAAAGCTGTGTGCTGCT